GCTTTTGGATTCATAGCTAAGAACCCATAGTCAAATCCAAGGTCATGAAGATTTTCCCCAATATTGTCTTCTTAGAGTTTTATTCTTTTAGCTCTTATATTTAGGTCATTGATCCATTTTGATTCAGTTTTTTTCAGAGAATTTTTTATTAATCCTAGATGCTTACAGTTCTTGAGAGAGGATAGGCTTTGGTATCCTACTTGAAAGAAACTTTTAGCTTTAGCCACTGTATCTTGCTGATTTCTAAAAGGGGATATAGGTGGTGTTGAGTGGCCCATTTTCATTTTTTTATTTCTGTTCTCCAGAGAACAGAATGGTTCATATAGGAATTTATTCCAGCTCCGTCTGCATCAGAAAAGGCCAGAAAGACAGAATCTGGAATGGCTTTTCTCATTCTCAGCCCCAAGACCGAACCTAAATAAACTTAGCTTTGCAAAGGGGCGACTTGGTCTTACACATTAGGAAGTTTTCACTTGGCTAATCTGGGAATATCCCTCTTCCTGGGACAAGGGTTCTGCTTTCCTGACACCCAGAGCTGTGGACTCAGACTTCTTTCCTTATGCCAGACCTCCTATTCTCACTCCCTTGGAGGTTTTTGGTAAGGTTCATCCAGGAACTGCTGACTCGGAACATATGGAGCTGGAAGGAAAAATAAATGGCCCATGAGCTCTTTCACTTGGTGGATAGGTTGTGGTTCCTCTGTTTGATGAGGCCAGCAGCCAGCTGCCTCTCTCCTCCTCAGAGATAAGAATCACAGCACAAACCTGAGTACTTCGCCCTGTCTGAAAGGCAGCTGCCTCATTCTTTCTACACACTTTCAGAAAGTACCACTGCTCTGTCTCGATTCAGTGCCTACAGTCTCATGTAGTTAAAATCTGCTTTGTTTTGCTTATTTTATGGTGACTGGTAAAATGGTTGCCTTTATAACTCTGGCAGTGTCAAGCCATATCATGAGTAAAATTTGTCCAAGTAGATATTGTCCCCAAATGTGCTGCTGGTCCCTGCTAGTAAGGGACCTGCTAGTATCGTTAGGTTCCCCGTCCATCTCTCAAAGGGCACCAGAGAGCGCGGAAAGGCTCAGCTTCCCTGTTCAGAGTACAGCTTCACTGCCAAACTCTTGGGGTCATTAGGAGTGTCCAGGAGAGAGCTGAGAGCTTTTAACACCCATGGGCAGCTCATGTTAGAACCAGTGAGACTACATCTCCTCAGACCTCGCCTGCTGCGCAGTCTCTTCTGGAGCCCAGGTGCTACTGGAGTCTCTTGCCCCAGGGACTGAGATGTTTTTATGAGGGAGGGAATGAATGACACCATATGGCACTCACTATAGTAAAGGATTATGAAAAACACACTTGAGAGGAAGAGACAACTGTGGGACTTGTGGGTTTCTTTGTTTTGTTTTTTAACTTGAGATGTAGTACTAGGAACTAAATGTTAAATAGAACAGCATTTCTCAAAAATACCTGGAAAGGACACTTTATTAATGACCTCAGTAAGAATAAATTTGACTAAGCAAGTTGTTTCTACTCCATCCCCCAATCCCTAAAGCATGAATTTAACAGACTTTAACAGAATTTAACTTTCACAGACTGGTGCCAGAAAAGGGCATTTGTAGTTAAGTGCTTTTTATAGGAGAAAAAAATGAGGGATTGTAAGTCATCCATCCAGTGCTGGAGCCATTGCCTCGATACTGATTAATAGGCAGCCTCTCTTGGGCAGTCGTCTGCCTCCTAGAAAGCTCCCTGGAAAGGCTGCCCCTGAGAACCTGGGATCAAGGTGCAGCCTTGTGGTCTGGACCTCCCTGGGGCCACCCTCGGCGGCCACTCTACAGCGTCTCAGGAGTCGGGTCCTCTTTTCTAGCCTCGTGCTTCTTTCTACATGTGTGTAACTGCTCAGCTGGCAGGACAGTGACAGGGAACATTCTCTTGAGAACACGTCATGTAGACTGGTGGCTTGGCACAAACACCCTGGTGAGCACGTTGGTTCAGGATGGAGAGGCGAAGCCACGTCACAGCTGGCATGAATGTGGGAGCATTGTGGGTTTTGGTTACTTTTGTAGTAATGAGCTTAGCATGACTTTTTATAGACTTCTTTGCTGATGGATTCATTTGAAAATAAAAGATAATTTTAGCCACAGCTGCTAATCTGGGTCCAAATAAAACATGTGCTGTGGCCACAGCGCAGTGCTGCATGGGTGCTCAGGAGTCTTGGCTGCCCCTCACTGCCTGTCTCACACAGATCTGGTTCCTCTGGTTTTCTTATGCATAAGCTTTTAGGTTACCTATTTTCAAAGATCAGACTTGGTTTTACAGCAAGTATTATTTAAATTTTAGGTTTTTATCCATTTGTTACATTTTATTTAAAAACCTGAATCTTTTTAAAAAATTTGTAGTGGAACCATCTTGAACATATCCATTGTTCTGAATCATGTAGGGTACTTTTATTTTAAAAATGACTTTCCTAAGGCTTTAGAAAATATCGATTAAACTTTACTGAGTAGTACCTATGTGCAAAAGCAGAATGTCCTTCTCAGTGTGATATGTACATACATATTAATGTTTCCTTAGCATTATAATGTCATAGAAATTATAAAGGATTCAAAATAATTTTTTGTTTGCATGTGCATTGGGGGGGTTTCCTCACAGAATTTCCAGAACAAAAATTGTTTGCTGCCCTGTTGATTAAATGTGTTGTGCAGCTGGAACTCATCCAAACTATCGACAACATTGTGTTCTTCCCAGCCACAAGTAAAAAAGAAGATGCGGAAAACTTAGCTGCAGCCCAGGTAAGGAGACAGGAGATGTATAGTCAGGAAGTTAGTTAAGCAGTCTGGGCTTCAGAGCACAACGGGTCAGGCCAGAGGTTAATTTGGGATACCTTCGTCACATAGATGTCATTTTAAGCCATGAGACTGGATGCCATCATGGAGTAGTGAGTGTGACTAGAGTAGAAAGGAGGGTCAGGGACGGAGCCTGGGGCCGCATCCTCTACAGCTCCTGGGGACAGGCAGCAGGTAGAGACTGAAACTGAGAATCAGCGAGGCACGGGGAGCACAGGTGTCAGTGTTGTGAAGTCAGATGAAGAAGGTGTTTTAAGAAGAAGCATGTGATCAAATGCTTAAGTGCTCTGGACAGGTCAAGAATATTACATGTGAGAATTGCCCTGTAACTATTTGGAGGACTTTGGTGACCCTGGCAATGTGTTTAATTTTAACATTAAGGACAAAAGCATAATTGTAATGGATCCAAGAGAAAAAGAAGATTTGGAGACAGCAAATATTGATAACTCTATCGAGGAGTTTTGCCGTAGAGTGGCACAGAGGAGATGGGGTGATAGCTGGAGGAACGTGAGGGGGTCAAGAGGGCTTTGCCATACTTCGTCCTCCTGATTGGCAGTGTGTCAGCGTGTTGCCAGTGAGAGCTTTCCAGGAAGTAGAGCGAGAGAGAATGAGTGCAGTCAAGAGAGGGGCCGTTGCTAGGACCATATTATTGAGTGACTGGGGATGTTCCTTGTGCAGAGTGGGGGCTGCCTGGAGTAGACGTCCAGATGGTTCCCAGGCAGCAGCGTTGGGGCAGAGAACAGGTATGGGCTACGGGTGCAGGAAGGCTGGTGTATTTGGGGTGGGAGCTTGTGGGAGATCTCTTCTTGCTAGCTTCTGGTTTCTCACTGAGATGGGAAAAAAGCCATCCTCCATGTGAGGCTGGAAAGAACATTTTAGGTACTTGAGGAGAGGAGTGAAAACGTGAGCTGTCTGTCCAGGAACATGGAGTGGAGCAGTGTTGGTGGAGTACTGGGCAGCACCCGAGCCCCTTGGTTTAAAGAGAAACAGTCGGTTTTCTCCAGCCACGTTGGCTATGTAGATGCAGATACGGAATAGGCAGTTTTTGCCAGCAAGTTACTGAAAAGGGAAGGTGAGGGGTTGTGAGAGAGAAAAATTAAAATCATGATGCAGGGACTCCCAAACAGTTTAGAAGAGATGGAGGGACTGAGGGGTACAAGGCCGTAGAGTCTCGGGTGCAGGAGGGGCTGGCCTGTAAGGGTGGTGCTTGGTGACGAGGATGCTTAACAGAAGGGGCACATTTCCCTGTTTTCTGTTAAGATATAGCAGATTGAGTATCTATGGCTTGCTTGTAAAACTGGTCTTTGGAGAACATTAAGTTCTAAATTTACTAAAATTATTATGATTGTGTGTGTGTGCTGTGATTTGTTTTCCAAAGAGAGATGCAGTGGACTTTGATGTTCGAGTTGATACTCAAGACCAAGGAATGTATCGCTTTTTAACATCACAACAACTTTTTAAGCTACTGGACTGTTTATTAGAATCGCATAGATTTGCAAAAGCATTTAATTCCAACAATGAACAGAGGACTGCTCTGTGGAAAGCAGGTGAGCGGCAAAGGCCTCATACTTTCATGTTCAATGTTATTGATGGATATGGGACAGATGTTTATCAGAATTCATTGTGCATGCCACTGCATGTACTTTGACCTTTAATAATAAGATAATCTAATAGGTGTTTTTCTGATCTACAATAAGCCAAATAACTACTTGGGTAGATTTCTTTTTCTCTTGTTCAGTCAACCTGTTACTTGACTGATCTGCCCAACGGTTTTTTCAGCTTGCCTACCCAGCCAGTGCCTTCCTGTCAGTATCATCAGCATAGCAGAAGCTGTGCTTGTCTGGGGAAGGCGTGTGCCCGCACACGAACCTGGTGTGTCTCCAAATGGCTTCCTTCTGTTTACTGGGAGTGGCCATACCTCAGAATGGAAGTGAATGTATTGGGACGGGAGGTATATTTGTTTTAGAATAAGATGGAAATTTTAAATAAAAATAAGCCTTATTGTAAATTAAACCAACATTATTTTTAATTCAAGAAATAGTTATTTAGTGCCTGTTAGGCACAAAACAGTGCTGGATGAGTGAGGGGCAGCAGAATGTGGCTGAAGAAAAGAAACAAGGGAGCTGACGCTTATTGAACACCAAACACTTCATCAAATGCAGGGTTAGATGCTTGTGTTTGCTTATTTTATTTAAAACAGCTCTGTTCTTTTTCTTCCCTTTACAACCTAACTTCTGCAAAGAGTAGTGTCTACTTATTTTTTTCCCCTTTCTTCAACCCAAGTTGTTGCCACCATTTGACTGGGACTATTCATGCTGAGGTGACCAGATGCTTCTTGTTTCCACACCCACCTGACCAGTCTCATCCACTAGGTGTCGCCCCCTGCCCGTTCCTCCGGGAGCCCTGCGGTGGGCAGAGCACGCCGCGCCTCCTGCAGCGTTGTCTGTGGGGCCGCAAGTGCAGTTTCACTTGAAGGGTTCCACTTTCCCAGGCCACAAGTTGTTTTATATCTTCAGCTTCAAGGGTAGGCGAGGGTGGGATTGTAAACAGAAATCGCCTCCGTGTGCCCCAGGTGCAGGCCTCGGTGGCTCAGGGCAGCTCCACTGTGTAGGCAGCAGGTGTCCACAGCTGAGCGCATACACAGCGTGCCTGTGTACGGGCTGTTTTGCCTTTATGTGCGCTGTCTTCCCAAACTAATCCCAGTAACTTCCCCCTTCTGCAGGCTTCAAAGGCAAGTCCAAGCCCAACCTTCTGAAGCAGGAGACCAGCAGCCTGGCCTGTGGGCTGCGCATTCTCTTCCGGATGTACATGGACGAGAGCCGGGTTAGTGCCTGGGAGGAGGTCCAGCAGAGGCTTTTGAAGTAAGACTCTTGACTGATCTCTGCCTTTGACCAGGTGGCTTTGTGGTGCAGGGCAGAAAAGGGGCAGTGGCAGGAGCAAGCAGACAGCTGAGCCTTGGGACCTGGTGACCCTGTTTCACAGAGCAATTGTAAAAATCAGATACAGTCTTGTAGGAAGATGTGCTTTGTACAGCTAGTGACATGTGAACAGATCATGTCTAACATACAGGACAAAGAAGAAAGTTTTATCTCAAGATTTAAAAACTTTAAAGTATATTATCATTTTTAGGCCTTTCTAATGTCATAAGATAGCCCCATTTTTATAGAACAGTCATTTGTGAAAGTGAAAACCTGGCCTGCCTGCATTGTGTTTGAAAGAATATTTGGAGCTTTTCTTGGTGTTACTTTTTTTTTCATTCTCTTTTACTTCATGACAACTAAAATTTAAGCTCAGACTAAGGACAAAACATGACATTCAGAAAGAACACTGTCATTTGTGTTGTATTTTTGTATCTACTTGGGAAATATATGTTCTAGGACCAGTTAAATAGATGTTAGAATTTTAAGAGATCACCTAGTCTCTGTTCTCCCATTTTATTGACAAGACTGTGAAGGCCGCCTCAGTCATTGAAGGGAGAGTCACCTCAGATGTCAGCCCAGGTCCTTGACACTGAGCTTATGCATGTGCTGTCTGCCACACTGCAGGTTTGAACTCAGTGAAACTTGGAAAATTAAGAGAATGTGGGTTTCCTAATAAGTTGCAATGGTTTCTTTTAATATGTTTGGTTTTCTTCCTAATTTAAAAAACGTATAAATATTTTTGGTGGTGTTCCAATTAATGTAAACAGATGGAATCTTACAAGTTCTTTATTAGTTCATATTCATTACAACATTCACTGATGTTCTTTCTCAGTGAGTATGTGACCAGCAGGTATGCAAGTAATGTAAAGGGAAACCCTTTCTTTTGCAGTGTCTGCAGTGAAGCACTAAGTTACTTCCTCACTCTAACATCAGAAAGTCATCGGGAAGCCTGGACTAACTTACTGCTTTTGTTTCTAACTAAAGTTCTAAAGATAAGCGATAATCGGGTAAGTACAAGGCTTCGTATGCAGCCTTGCATTTCTAGCCTGACCAGCGTGGTGGTTGAGTCCAAGGCAGGGATGCCGGGTCACAGACCCGCTGCCCGGGAGCTCTCAGAGGCAGATCACGCAGTGCCCAGCTGCCTGTGCAGGACAGTGTGTGGCCCAGCCCTATTGTCCTCAGTTTTCTCCTCCTTAGCCAGCTTTGTCCTCTAACCAGCGATTCTCCAGGGCATTCAGTAGGAGAGGAATCAGAATCCCTTAGGACACCTTGACAGCCTCCTGAGTTCCCCCAACACTGAAATTCCCATTCTGACTCCAGAGTCTCCCCTTTTTCCCTGTTTGGAAAACTACTGTCTGGCCACCTTGTGGCCTTGCCTACAGTTCTTCTGCCTGTGCTCCAGGAAGCAGCCATTCCTTTGGCATATTTAGTGGTTCTGTGCAGCCCAGAGTCTCTAGTGAATGAGCCATGAGCTCCTTTAAGAATCTTAAATCAGTAGAAATAAAATACAAATATATAATTAAATATAAATGCATATTTTAAGATTTTTTTAAAATATACATTTTACTATTTAAAAAAATATAGCAGCTTACAGCTCACATATAAGGAAATGGGTTGTTTTGCTGTGAACCTGAACAGGTTTTAAAATGCATACTCAATACTTGACACTTCAGGTCCTTGTGGCACATGGAACCCTGTGGAGACAGGGCGATGCCACTAAGTGCCACACAGATGTTCATCCCAAGTCCCAAGCCCTGTGTCCACATGCATTTCCATCTGACTAATGGGCTCTGGAAAGCTTGGAGAAGTGACCTAAGGCTGCCAGCAGTCTGTCTTACTGTCTTACACAGACAACCCAGTCTGTCTTACTCCACAACTTGCTTTCTTGTCACAATACATCATACCGCTCCCCTGGATCTCATGGGGCATGGAGGGGTAGGAAAGGAGAGAAAGTAGGCAGCAGACTAGTTTTCAGAGACTAAGGAACCACAGCAAAGGTATAATCAAAGTATATAAATTGAACTATACATGTAGAATGTATACAGCTTTGCCTGGAGAATGTTTACATATTTTATATTGCAGCATTAGGTAGAATTTTCCCTAAAATTTAAAATTTTTATTTAACAAAAGATACAATTTCAATAACCCATATCTTATAAAAACTCAACTCTAGTTCTTGCTCGGTTTCTTTCTTTTGCTTATTACCTAGGAAAAACAATGCTGAATTACTAAAAGTTTGTAAAAGGTATGTAATGGGAAAAAAGTGTTTTTCAAAATAAGGATAGTAACCAAGTGAGCAGTGTTCATATTGAGTCTTTTGAGTACTTGTGTCTCTCAGTTTCACACTCCACTGACTTGCTGCGGGACACAAACGCTGCCTTTCCTCCCTGCCCTGTGATCAGTGCATGCCCCAGGCTGGTTGGACTCTAGCAGTTTCAGGCTCTGTAGTTTGCAGTGCAAGCACTACTAATGGAGACATTCGTTCTCTTCCCCCCAGTTTAAAGCTCATGCATCATTCTACTACCCTCTCTTATGTGAAATTATGCAATTTGACTTGATTCCTGAACTTCGTGCTGTTCTTAGAAGATTTTTTCTGCGAATTGGAGTCGTTTTTCAGATATCACAACCACCTGAACAGGAACTTGGAATAAACAAGCAATGATGGAAAGTTCATATTTTTCTGTTGGTGTTTACATCCCTCCGCTCTTTAAAAGGACCCTGGAGCTGAGGTTTTCTACCTGAAAATGAATTCTTTGAATTGCAGTGTCTGAGGGTGACTGGTAAAGATGCTTAGAACTAATACTCAAACTTGCAACACTCCAGTCCCTTTACCTGGCGGATTCTGTATGTCATGCTGGGCTCATGTTGAGCAGAAAGCATGTGCAGACAGTGCCAGCTTATGCTCATGGGTCCTCTCTGTCCTTCGTGGCAGCAAGAGCCCCACATACTTTTGGCAGGTGTGGAAGTAAAACTTACCCAAAGAACTATAGATGTAAAGATTGAACTTCTGCAAGAAGTACAACTCAGGAGAGCTGTATTTTGAAGGATAAAATGTTTATAATTGGGGGGTGGGGGGAGAGGAAGAAATTATTGTTCATGGTAAAAGATATTTAGCGACTATGGTATTCTTATTCTGAAGATTTTTGCACACTCAGGCTATCTGAGATACTGGTAATCATCCTTCTGTGAAAAATGTACAGAGATGCAGGTCTGTAATATAAAAAACTTAAACATTATATAGTTCTTCCTGCACTGTTTTCTTTATTTTCTTATTCATTTGCTAAATACCCATAATATTTTGTCAAATGCACTAAACATCTGGGTTGAAATTTCTTTTTATTTTTGTGGGAATTTTTAGTTTTGCCCTTTTGGGGGGATAGTAATTTTGAGGCTTTAACGTGCCCAGAAGCTGTTGTGGCTGACGCTTGTCAAGATCAACGACAGGAAGAAAAAAAAAAAAAGGTAGAAAATATCCCTACTGACAATAACTACCTGTAATATATACTTCTCTTAGGGCTTCTAAAGATGAGCCATTAAAATAGAATGATCCCTCATGGACCGAAACTTGAATCACTGCAAAATGAATCTAGGTTGCTGTCACTTTCTTTTCTTTTGGGTGGTGGGGCTTGATGTAGATTTTACTCTGTGTACAGAATTTAATGTTGAATATATTAAAATAACAAATCTGGCATGGTTTGCAGAGGTTAGATTTACTGGAAATGTATTCAAACTGTGAATTGTGTTCTGATGGTTAAAAGACAGGATTGTCGAGCATTCCGTATTAATAGTGGATGTAGAAAATTTTTTCAGATGGATAAAATGTATATGGTACAGATGTAAAGTTTTCTATGTAAAAAATTCTGTACAACTTTCTGTACAATATTGATTCTCATCTGGCATATTCTAATCAGGTTATAGGTCAATAAAGTTTTTGAATTATTTCATCACAGTGCAATCAAAACCTGAGTAACCCACAACCCCATGTTTCACTGATTGTTTTCTGGTTTTTCGTTAAAAGGCAAGTAATTATGGAAAGGATATTTTCAACAAGAACTACAAATTGCATATTCTTTGGTTGTGATATTTTCTTTCCAGCTTCTGGCATTAGATCATCCCTCACACTGTACTCTGAACCATAGGTATTCATAATTTTTAAATATGAACATTAATGATGCATTTAGAAGTGCACCAGATTTATTACCCCTAAGACACAGCTTTGTCCAAGCCCAGTGGGATGCTAGTGCTGGGAGACAACATGATCTTCCTATCTGTCGAAGGGTAAGTGCTTCACATGACTTGGCAGATTTAGTATTTAATGGTGTAGTATCAGGACTCTCCCTAGAGGAGCCAGAGGCTTTCTTCTTTCTTTCAGATGACAACAGAAGGAAAAAATCTAGAAAACTAAGTATAGGACCTGGTATGGTGTCTCACGCCTGTAATCCTAGCACTCTGGGAGGCCTAAGGTGTGGGAGAATGGTTTGAGGTTAGGAGTTCAAGACCAGCGAGAGCGAGACGCTGTCTCTGCCAGAAACAGAAAAAATTAGCTGGCACATGCCTGTAGTCCCAGCTACTCAGGAGGCTTAAGCCTGGGAGTTATGATGTGAGCTACAGTGAGCTATGATGACACCACTGCACTCTATCCAGGGCGACAGAGCAAGACCCTATCTCAAAAAAAAAGAAACGGAGTATAAAATTTACATGTAGCCAAAAATTAGAATATCAAATCAAATTGTGGCAAACTTGTCTGATCTTGTCTATCATTAATTATGTCAAAGGAAAGAAACAAACTGTATAGGATGTTCTCAGCTCTCATGGTACTGAAGACCTACCATTCTAAGTCAGAATTATTTCCCAGAATTTGAATGGATCTTTCCTTTTTGAGAAGTATCACTTAGAGTGATTAGAAAAATTGACTCACTTATCCAAGGGTCCATGGTGGGGGAACAAAGATTCCAGTCTCTGTCCTTGACCCCTGGGTGTTTTACCTCTCTCCTTTCTTCAACCTCTAGAAACCTAAATTTCCAATTAAAATAAGAAATCAACATTGGTAAATAAAAGTAAAAATTTATTTCTATCAAGAAGTAGTCAAATCACATAAATCAGTAACTAAGACAATGCGTTCATTGGCACAAAAATAAAATAGAGGCAGAAAGACATAAATTTAGTGTATGGCTCATGAGAATAAAATCAGTTACAGCTCCCATTATTTCCATGGAATCAGCTACAAATGACATGAAAATAAGTAGCACATTTGATTCTTTCATTACATAGCAGCTAGAATAATTCAGCTACAATATCTGCAGTTATTAAATGAATTACTTTGAATAGAGATAACAATGGCAAATGTGCATAAAACAAAGGGTATTCTGGTTTTACAGTACTGTTAAGACACTTAAGTTTTATTCACCTTATCTTGACAAGCAGAATTTAAAATAATGCACATATGGTAGTTGAATCCAAAGTTCATCACCACTCACAATTTATGGCAAAATTGTGCAAAAATAATTCTATACAGTTCTATTATATAAATCAATAATCATGGCCTTTTATGTACACAACATACATCATATACATCTTAGAAAAAATACACTTTATATACAAATGGAAAAAAAGTAATTAACTTCAGGTAGGGGCCAAAAGTAGGACATGTTATTAAACATACAGATTTACCATTCCTTTTACCTGAAAAGGCACTACTGGGTCCAAAACATTTATTTTAACCATGTGCAGTAGACAGGCCTTGCCACGTGAAAGTGCCTGGTTTTCTAGGAACCTCCTGCTGCTCCTGGTTCAGCTGCTCTGCCATGAAGCGTTTCAATGTTTCTGAGGTGCCAGGGCGGAGCCAGGGCTCAGTTGCTACAGAGTTTGATCCATCGTCCCCCGTGTGTTTCATGATGTCATCAGGGTCAACCAGTGAATTCTCTTCGTCATCTACAGGAGGCAAGAGACACACGACTCAGGTAACACAGGTGGCAGGCAGGTGACACAAACACAGGTCTCCTATAGTCCAACTCAGTACAACTTAGCACTTCCCAATGATATATTCTGAACTATATTGTTTTTGTTTTGTTCAGACCTCCCATTTTAGTGGTAGGAGAGCAGGCCCAGAAGGGGCTAATTTTGTAAAACAAAAAATAATCAATTGAATAAGTTGATTCCATGGTACTAGCAACCAGAGGGATTCAAAGTGTATCAAAGGAGACTCCGCCAAACATTACAGTGACTGGAGGAATGTAGGCAATCTTACTTTGTAACTGTCACCTTCAGGAGAAACCTAGTGGATATCTATGTAAAACTACTTTTTAGCAAGGTTAGGGGAATACTCCCAACCTATAACACTGCTATAAGAAAATTAAAAGTCATCATTCTGGGAAAGCACTAGTTAGGATGAACTTCCATTTTTACACCTAATATAAGAATGCCATGTCTAGTCCATTAAGAGGTAGCTCTTAATTTGTTTCATTCTTTAATTAAATTTGATATACTCAATGTCTATATCTGTATTTTACTTATTATTAGGTATAATAGGAAAATCTGTCTTCCTACCCTGTGATGTCAATTTCTTTTTTTTTTTTTATATCTCCTTGTCTGTGAAGGATTAGCCCAGCAAAGGGACATGTGCAATCAATTTAATGTGCAATCAGTCCACATCGTACCAAAACGCTCCTGTTTGAAAGGATAATGTTAAACAAAAAACAGTTTAGACATTGAAGACCTTGTGAAAGAGTAGATTCTTAAAAATGCTCTATTTTTTCTCAAATATATCCTTGTTAAATGTGAATTCAGTTTATTGCAAAAGAAACTGAAGAGCCTTTTAGCTAGAGACATCCTTTCCCACTCTTCCACAGTTTTTTAGGTATGACAGGAAAAGTACCATCCCATCTATTTACCGTGTTGGCTAGTATTTGGTATGGAATTATCACCAACAGAACATATCACACCTTGACAGCTACAGATTTTGTGAGTACCTTTTAAAAATTATCACAGTATTAAAGATAGGATCTAAAAATATCTTAAAAGTTGTTACCAGAAAACTACTGTAATGTATGTAGCTTTTTAAAGAGTATTTCACAAATAGACCATTCGAATATTTGCTAATAGTAATACTATTATTACTAATAGGAAATTGTCCCATTATCCCAATGACTAATGACATTGATATAAAAAAGGGGTAGGTAAAGGGTTGGCAGAGGAGCTCATTAGCTGTCTAAGGAACCATCTTCCTTTGTGTTCCACGACCAGCTTTAACCTTCGAGTCACAAAAGCCCATTCAAAATGAGAAGACTAGTTTTATTTGACTTAGAAAATATTAAACTGAAGCTATTTTGTTTGTCCATGGTGTGGAAGGCCAAATAACTCTGCAGTACTATAAATTTACATGTTATTTAGGGAACTCAAAGATAAAGTTGATTTCAGATAATCTCTCACTTCAGTGAGTGAGTACACTAAGTACTGTACCATACTAATCAGCATTTTCCCTGCTGAAAGCAAAGCCTGGATATATTTCATAAGCAACAATTATTTTATCTGTTTAGAATCCACTCTAAAACGGGTACCCTCTCTGTAGAAAGAATCTGATACAAACTTAATCCTGAAGTCTGGGATTGCTGGACAGAACTCTCCATCTACCCCCAGCCATCAGTGACAACTTCCATGTAAGCAAGTTTAAATCTGCTATAGTCCATTAAACTTGGCTATTTACCTGTATTAATAGGTTTGTTCTGAAGTTCATTCAGTCTACGCATTCGTTCCTCATTTCTCATTCTAATCTGGTCAATGTTTATACTGGACACAGATTTTAAAGAGAGACCATCTGGTGGTACATCAGGACAATAGTTATCCTGTAGTTAGAAAGCAGAACTTCAGAAATGGTCATTAACATAAAATATGTTCAGAATGAATCAAAACAACATCATAACCTGGATAAATGTATTTGTGACAAATGAAATAAATGAAGATATGGAGCATTTATATTCTGACTCCTGTATCCACGGCAGGCTCAGATGACTCAGTTAAGGATAAGATACAGCGTCTGTGATGACACATAAATGCTGCCAGTCTGGATAAAACTTGGGAATTCTAGGACACTAAAGGAAAAAACTGAAACAACACAGGTTGAGACAGTCCAGCTATAGTAATCAAGATAGTGTACTGTTATAAAGACAGGCATATTACATCAATGGAGGAAAGAAATCCAGAAATAAATCCTTACATTTATGGACAAAATGCAATGGGGAAATAATAGTCCTTTCAACAACAGGTACTGGAACAACCACAAAAGAATGAGCTTGAACCCTTATACCTCATACTATATGCAAAAATTAACTCAAAGTGTATCAGAGACCTAAATTCAAGAGAAAAAAAAAAATCTAAGTAAATCTTAATGATCTTGGGTTAGGCAATGGTTTTTAGATAAGACACCAAAAGCCCAAGAAAGACTGGTAAGCTGGATCTAATCAAAATTTAAAACCTCTTGTGCTTCAAGGGACACCACCAATAAAGTAAAAAAAATACAGGATGGGAGGAAACATTTGCAAATCATACATCTGATACTGAACTTGTAGCCAGAATGTATAAAGAACTCTTATAATTCAATAATGAAAAGACAACCCCATTTGAAAATGGGCAAAGGGTCTGAATAATATCTCCTAAAAAAATACATACCCAGCTAATAAACATATATAAGAAAAGATGCTCAACATCTTAGAGAAATAACTCAAAACCACAATGATATCACTTCACACACTCACTAGATAGCTATAATCAGAAAGAAAGACAATAATAACAAGTGTTGGCTAGGATGTAGAGATTAGAACCTTCATATACTGCTCATGTGGCCACTTTTTAGAAAACAGTCTGCCTGGTCTTCAAAATATTAAACTTAGAGTGACCATGTGACCCAACAATTCTAGGTATACTCTCAAGAGAAATAGAAACATCCAAAACCTGTACATGAATGTTAATAGCAGCATTATTCATAACAGCCAAAAAGTGAAAACAACCCAAATGTCCATCAGTCATTGATATGGGATATCCATAGAGTGAAAAACTATTAAGCAATAAAGAGGAATCAGTACTGACACATGCTACAACATGTGATGACCTCTGAAAAGAAAGACAAAGCCAGTAACAAATAACCATATATTATATGGTCTCATTTATATGAAATCTAAGGAAAAGGCGTATCTATAGGGACCAAAGTAGATTGGCCACTGCCTAAGGCAGCAAGTAGTTACTATCGCCTGGCAAAGCTGTTTGTACAATACTGTTAATAGTAACAGCATCTGTCATTTGCTGAGAGCTCCCTGCATACTTGGCTGAGTGCTAAATGCTTCGCATATATTTTAACTGTATCTTCATGTCACACATATAAGGAAACACGCCGACCACAAAATTGCCCAAAGCTGCCTACCTAACAAGGAAGGGACATTGTAGGGACATGTACTGAGGGCTCCAAAGCCTATACTTTTTACTGGCTGAACTATAAAGCTGTGGAACAAAGTGAAGAGAACATGAGTTTGAATCTCAGCCCTCTTGTCTATGTGACCTTGGGCAAATCATTTGACTGAAATGAAGACAATGCCTGTATCACAGAGGTGATTAAGAAGATGTAACAGGCTTTCCAATAAATGGAATCACTTGCTTCTTGTGCCTTCTCTGAAATTCCTATATTCTGGGAAGAAAGACGGTTGGGATGCCAAGCTACTTATGGCCATTCAAGGAGACAAAAAAATATTACCTCAAAGAAGTCAAGGCAGCAGAGTTCAAAGAGCTACCCAATATCATCTCCAGCTAATTGGTGGTAGAGCCTAGATTCAGACCCATGTCTACTTTATTTCAAATAAGTGCTCTTTCTTTTATTGAGTGTCACAAATTTAGCATGAGTCAGAACCCAGACCTCTTATTCTTCTAAATTAAAAGGGGGGGGGAGAGAAAAACACATTTCATACATTTTCAAAGTCCAGTCCTTTCAATTTGTTTCTCCTGCGCTCTCTCGCAGAGGGTAGCTGTGATGGTGGAGGGAGGACATCTTCAATGGCAGGATATGTCTCACCATAAGCACCTAAAAGGGCCACAAAAGGGAAAAGGAGTCTTAAACTTACACCATTTCAAATCTTTTAACCAGAGCAGAACCAAGTGCCTGTTTTATAATTGCTTTATTACATACCATTACACTCACAGTTCAATGATTAAACACAGTTCAGTTATTTTTAGTAAATTTAGAGCCATACAATCATCACTACAATCTAGAACATTTCCATGACCCTAAATAACTTCCTTGTGCCCACTGGCAACCACTCCCCACTCTCACATGCTTGGCCTCACGGCAAACACTGATCTGCTCTGTCTCAACAGATTTACCTTACCTAACATTTCACGTAAATGGAATTCCACAACTTAACCTTTTGTGTCTTTTCACTAAGCAATAATCTGTTTAAGGTTCATCTATGTTGTACCGTGTTTCAGTAGTTTATTCCAGCTGGGAAGAGCTGACATCTTGACAATATGGAGCTATCCTGTCCGTGAACAAGGAATCTCTCTCCATTTATTTAGTTCTTCAGTTTCTCTCATCAGAGTTTTGTAGTATCCTTGGGGAGATCTTATGTTTTTTGTTAGATTTATACCTCATTATTTCTTTGGGGGGGGGTACTAATGTAAATAGTATTGTGTTTCAAATTTCAAATTCTACTTGGTCAGTGCTGGTGTATAGGAAGTTGACTGACTTTTATTTATTAACTTTGTATCACGCATTCTTGCTATAACTGCTTATTAATTCCAAGAGATTTTTAGTTGACTTATTCAGATTTTCTACAAACAATCATGTCATCTATGAACAAAGACACTTCTCTTTCTACTTTCCCTATCAATAGACCTTTTATATCCTTTTCTTGCTTTATTGTAGTAGCTAGGATGTCCAGTATGATGTTAAGGAGTGATAAGAGGGGACATCCTTGCCTTGTCAGGATCTAAGTGGGAAAGCTTCTAGTTTGTCATCACTAGGTATGATGTTAGCTATAGAGTTTTTGTATATGTTCTCTATCAAGCTGAGAAATTTCCCTTCTATTCCTAGCTTGCTGAGTTACCATGAAGAGCTTGTAGATTTTACCTAGGTTATCAAATTTGTGGATATAGAGTTGTTTGTAGTATTCTTTGACTATCCTTTTAATGTCCATAGGCTCTGTAGTGAATGTCCCCTTTTTCATTTCTGGTATTAGTAATTTGTATCTTTACTCTTTTGTTATTAGTTTGGCTACAGGCTTGTCAATTTTATTGATCTTCTCAAAGAAACAGCTCTTGGTTTCATTTTCTCTATTGATTTCCTATTTTTAATTTCATTGATTTCTGCTCTAATTTTTATTATTTCCTTTCTTCTGCTTACTTTGGATTTAATTTGCTCTTATTCTAGTTTCATAATGTGGAAGCTTATTGATTTTAGATCTTCCTACTTTTCTAATGTATGCATTCAATGCTATAAATTTTGCTCTAAGCATTACTTTTAATACATCCCACAAATTTTGATAAACTGTATTTACATTTTGCTCAAAATATTTTTAAATTTACTTATTTGGTTCATGTTACTTAAAAATATGGTGTTTAATCTCCAAGTATTTGGAGATTTTTCCAGCTATCTTACTGTTATTGATTTCAGACCATTGGGGTCTGAGACATTGCATGATTTCTCTCCTTTTGAATTTGCTGAGGTATGTTTTATTGCCCAGAATGTGGTCCATCCTGAATGTTCCATGTTAGCTTGAGAAGAATATGTGTTCTGTTGTTAATGAAGTAGTCTATAGATGTCCATTACATCCACCATTGACTGATAATGGTGTTGAGTTCAACTATGTCTTCATTGACTTTCTGCCTACCATATCTGTACATTTCTGAAAGAAAGGTGATGAAATCTCCAACCACAATAGTGGATTCATCTATTTCTCCTTACAGTTCTATCAGTTTCTGTCTCATGTATTTTGACACTCTGTTGTTAGGTACCTAGATCTAAGAGCTAAAACTATAAAACTTAGAAGAAAACATAGGAGGAAAGCTTCCTAGCATTGGATTTGGCAATGATTTCTTGGATATGACAAGAAGCACAGGCAACAAAAGAAACCATAAATTGGTTTCATCAAAATTAAAACCTTCTGTGCATCAAAGGGCACAATCAACACAATAAAGAGGCAACCTACTATAAAGAAAACATTTGTAAATCATATATCTGATAAGGGGTGGTATCTAGAATATATAATAAACAGCTCCTACAACTCAACAACAGAAACCCAAACCACCTGATTTTAAAAATTGGCAAAGGACTTCAACAGGCATATCTCCAAAGAAGATACACAGATGGTCAATAAGCACATGATGTTCAACATCACTAATCATTATGGAAATACAAAGCAAAACCACAATGAGATACCATTTCACACCTACAAGGATGGCTACTATCCAAAAAACGGAAAGCAACAAGTGCTAACAAGGATGTAGAGAAACTAGAACTCTTATGCACTGTTGGTGGAAACATAAAATTGTGCAGCTGCTATGGAAAACAGTGTGGTGATTCTTCAAACAATAAGAATTACCATATGATCCAGCAATTCCAACTTTTGGTATATATGCAAAAGAATTAGAAGCAGTGACTTTAAGGCATATTTGCACACCTATGTTCATAACACCATTATTCACAAGAGCCAAAAGGTGAAAGCAACCTGTGTCTATCAACAAATGACTGGATAAACAAAATATGGTACGTACATACAATGGAATATTATTTAGCCCTAAAAAAGAGAAAATCTGACACATGCTACTACATGGATGAACCTTGAGGACCTTATGCTAAGTGATCTAAGCCAGTCATCGAAGGACAAATGCTGTATGATTCCACTTACATGAAGTCTTACAGTAGTCTAATTCATGGAGATGGAAAGTAGAATGGTGGTTGTCAGGAGGGAAAGGTGAAATGGGGAATTATTGTTTAGTATAAAGAGTTTCAGTTTTCAACATTAAGAATTCAGACGATGGATGGTAATAGTGGTTGTCCAATAATACGAAGGTATATAATGCCACTCAAATGTACACTTAAAAATGGTTGAAATGGTAAATTTATGTGTATTTTACCACAATTTTTTTAAATTATTTTTTTAAAAAAAGCATTGAAACCAGCAGCCTCATGGTTAACGTGGTCATGACTATGCCACATTTGCAGTGACCATTAGCCAAAAGGACAGATTGCTATATCTTTGGTCTAACATAATGAAATATTCCAAGACACTATTTTGAGTGGCCTGGATTATCTTCGTTGTTAGTGAAAACAGGTCATGTTTCCCTGATGCCTTCACAGACTGGCTATCGTCCCATCCCCATCTCCTGCTGGTTCGTCTTTAGTCACTCTCCATAGTGCATCTTCCTTGGAAAGGAAAAACACACTTTTTAAAAGAGCCACTAAGAAATATAATTAGGAATTTCTATCATATGAAAATCTGAAGTAATTTGTATGAACCAAGAGAGAATTGATTCCCTGATGGTCCTAGGATAGTAGAAACACATTATGATCAGAGTACATAATTACAGGGTTATATTACAGTAGTTAAGGAAAAAAGATCCCATGGTACCTTTACGTATCTTCTGAAGACTGAATATTCCTATGATTTTTTTAAGTGAAGTATTTATTAAGATAATTGTAGATTCACATGCAGTTGTAAAAAATAATAGAGATCCCTTTTATACTTTGCCCAGATTCCCCCAATGGTACATTTTATAAAATTACTGTGCAATCTCAAAACCAGGATACTGATACAACCCACAGATCTTATTTAAATTTACCATTTTACCTGTACTCACCTGTATGTCTGCATGTATGTATTAAGTTCTATACGATTTTATTGCCTGTTTACATTTGTGTATCTACCTTCACAAACAAGATGTTAAACAGTTCTAAAACCACAAGGACCCCTCCTGTTGCCCTTTGATAACTATATATACACTTCACCCTACCCCCAACCCATGGCAACCACTAGAGTCTGTTCTCAATTTCTAGATTTTGTCATTTCAAAAATGTTCTATAAATGGAATCATATGGTATGAAACTTATTGGGATTGGCTTTTTTGCTCAGCATATTTCCTCAAGAGTCATCCAAGTTATTGCATGTTTCAACAGTTTCTTTTTTTTGCTGAGTAGTATTCCACAACATGGATGTATCAGAGTTTGTTTAGCCATTCATCTTTAAAGGACATGTGGGCTGATTCCAGTAATTCTTATTTGGAAAACTTTACAAGCCACATTTGATGACTATTCATTAAAAGAGTACAACAGAATATTCCTTTTTTTACCACCTTGCACAACAGACTACAGGACTGGTTTTGCAAGTATGGAGAAAGGCATTTTAAAAGAAATGTAAGTATTGTTTAATATTTAAATAATACAGATAAATAGATTTAAATATATGTCTATTATATATTTATAATATATAGATTTAATATATAGATACATAAACATATAGATGTAATATATAAATACATAGATAATATATAAATATATTAAATATAGATAACAGATTTAAATAGATTAAGATAAATATACTCACCAATAAAAGCACTATCAGATTCCAACAATGAATTTTTCAAGAAATCATCAGTGTCATCTGTGGGCTAAAAGAAACAACATTTATGAATGACTATTTGTCTTAGTTCTGTGTGGAAATACAACAAATTTTACTATGAGGTGGCACAAATTTCCACAGTCCCCCGAAAAAGCAAAAGAGGATGGGACTTGGACTAGAGCTAAGACTGACTCCTGTAACACATTCCAATGCCCAGAAAATACTGGAAACAGCACATATAACTCCTATGAAGATAGTAAAGGCAAGTCTTCACTAAGACATGATCTCCCCAGCCAAGGGATTCTGGCAAGCAGACTCGCCCCAACAACCTCCTTCCTGACCCCTTGTGGTTGAAATCAAATAAAGGATCACATTACTACTAATGAAAATATAATAGGGTGTGAAGCAATGAACCCAGTTAAACATTAAAAATCTTTAAACTACTGCCAAGATTCATTCATCCTTTCAATAAATCTGTATAGTGCATTTGCTATTTCTTCCATGCTAGAAACTGGGGATACAAAGATGAATTAGGAGTTTCTGCTCTGGAGCAGACCATAGTCCCATACGGGAAAGAGAGGCATACTCTCCGATGATGACAGCCCTATGTCACAGCAATTGTTATGAGGACATAGCACAGATACAGTAGGGGAAAAACAATAATGCTAGGGTTGGACTTATAATAAGCTCCCAAATGAGAGGTAACTTAAATTTACATATAGAGAATTTTATAATACAGAAAAATATCACCTTATAAGTCAGAAGAAACTTAATGTCATTCCACTGCACCTCCTTGCCAGATTTCTGGACTTTGCTACAATACTCCAGCAAATGGCTATTCATTAGTTTTTAAGGCAATGAATTCCAGTAATGCACAGCACTCATTATGAAAAAGTTCTTCTCTTACACTGAATTCTTCCATATTCTGAATTGAAATCTGATTTACCACCCCTTGATTCTACTTGTACTTTCCAGCATGATCATAATGGTAATGACAGTCACAGCAGCCAAGTCAAATGGGCTGGCGCACCTGTGTGAGCAGTCACACACACGGCCCACCTTCTCTTCTGCATCTCACTCCTTCCCACAACAGTGATCACTGTTGTTCGCCTATGCCCCACCTTCTCCATGACACCCCCAATTTCGTCCTGTGTTTTCCATATGACCCAGTTTCTAGGAAGATCAGGAGCCCGAGGTTTATTAGCTTTTTTGTAACAGCCATGATAAACACTGTTGGCTTATGCTGCACTTCTACTCAGCAAAATCTGTTATTAATCCAGGATTTTAACCAAAATCACAGATGTTAAGTTTCAGTATCTTTTCACTGAGAAACATAATTGCCACACAGAAAGAAGCCAACAGACCTTCAGAGTCTTCCCGAATAGGTGTCAGGATGTCTCAGGCCATGGGGTATAGGGACACATCAGAACTCTGGAGTCCAGCCTGGGTTCAAACCTGGGCTTTTCTGCTTATTGGCTATGTGACGATGGGCAAGATAACGAGCCTTTAAATATCAGTTTCTCCTTATGTAAAACAGGGATAAGCTTACCTTGTGAACTTTAGAGCCAATAAATGTCAAGTACCTCGCACAGGTAGAGTGTGGTCAATAAATGGCAGCTATTAGCAACACTGTCGCCATCATCATCACTGTCAGTTCAAAACCATGCACCAACAACTACTAATAGGTAACCCTGGGCAAGTAAGAGCCTAGCTGAACCTTACTTTCATAATCTGAAAATGGAGAAAATACTACCTATATCATAAAGGTGCTATGAAGATTGAATCTGTATTTCCAACCTCTCTCTCCTCTTGAACTCTCTCACATGTGTGTACTCGCCAGCTCCAACTGCTGGTCTAACAGTCACCTCAAACTTACCATGTCTAATCTAAGTGCCCAAGCTTCTCTCCTAACCCCTAAATGTGTTTCTCTTGCTTCTCCAATCTGTAAATAGCAACTCCCAGCCATAAAGTATGAAGCCCATCTTTGACTCCTCTTACATTCCACTTCAGTATGCAAAAAAACCCTATCAGGTCTCCTGTCAAAATAAATCCATCCACTTCTGACCAGTCCCGTTGTTCCCATCCCAGGCTACACCAGCTTATCTCTTGCCTAGATTCTTGGTAATAGCCTCCCATCCCTCTCTCAGTCTGTTCTCAAGGCACAGCAGTGACCAAGTGAACCTCTTAAGCTGATCATGTCACTCGTCCACTCAAAGACTTTGGAAGCTTCTCATCACGTGCAAAGCCCTGCGATGGCCTCCGAGGCTCTGCAGCCTCACCCGTCACCCCTGCGCCACCTGCCCCCACTGGCCTTCACTCGTGGTTCTCCCACCTCTGGCCTCCCCGCTGCTCCTCAGCGGCACCAGGCCAACCCCTGCGGGGCTTCTGCCTGGAATATTCTTCCTCTGGATGTCACCCTATTTCCCATGGACACCTTCCTGGTGTCCCTCCTCAAATGTTACTTACTCAATGAGGCCCCTTGCCCACTGTTTTCCTTGCTATAATTTTCCCCATAGCACCATGATTTAACATACTATCGATTTATTTTTTTATTGCCTCCCCTCATTCCAGAATGCAAGCTGTCAGAGGGCAGGGGGTTTGTCTCTCTTGTTTACTCCCAGACCTCTGGCATAGGAAACATTCAATAAATATCTGTTGAATGCAAACGGCACACCCATCTCTTTATTCAGTCTTGCAAAATGTTACCACCTCAGGGTAAGAGTGAGCATCACCCTCTCTGTCCCCTTCCCCTTCCGTTGCTTGTTTTCTCTACAGGCCACTGCTCTCATCATAGACTCCCACTTCCACCACTGCTAATACTACCGAGAGCAACACTTACACTGCACTCACCGTCGGCCAGGCCTTACTCTAAAGGCTTTCGATATAGTCTCTCAATCCTTACAACAACACTGGAGCTATGTTTATTCATTTAATAAACATTTATACAGAAATTATTATTAACATATGCCAGGCCTGTCTCTAACTGCCTTGCAAATATTGATTTAATCCTTGTAGCCACCCTCAGAGGTAAGTACTATTGTCCTCATTTTACAGATTAGGAAGCTAAGGCACAGAGAGATTAAATAACTTGCCCGAAGTCACACAGTTAAAAATAAACTAACTTGAACAGCCTAGTGCAAGAATCTTGCTCTCAGCCATTATGTTTTCTCTACAAACTATACTAACACTTCTCTAACTACTAGAATAATGAGACAAGATTTACATTCTTAACTCAATTTTCCCAAAGAATTCAAAATTTGGAATATTCACTTACACTTCTAAAAATCTTTAGCCCCCCCCAAAACTAACTTGAAAATAATAACTGGTTGCTTACCATTCTTTGCTTTCGTACTTTAGCACTTGGGATGGCATCTAAGTCAACTGTAGTCAATGGTCAATGGTGAACAAAAGCAAATTAAAGGGTTAGAAAATGTTTACTAAATAAAAATAAATTTTTAGAATTTTTATGACTAGCCCATTGCTGGAAATTACTTTTCAACTACCATACTTCAGAATATTTTTGAGATACTACATATCAATAAATATAACCCTGCATCCATTCTGATTGGACAAAATTCTCCCATTCACATTAATGAACATAAGTAGTAAAATCATGGCTAACAGAAAACTGGTGCTTACAGAAAACCAAAATGATTAATGCAGGATTCTTCATCTTCTGCCCCATGTCTACAATCTGTGCAGAAAGTTGGGTGGAGTTAAACGGGGGGCTCCCACACATGAAACTGAAGTAAGCTCAATTCTAGGTGCCTAGTTCCAGAGGCAAAGATTCTGGATCAAGTATCCCAAAGCCTCTCCTATCTGTTCCTCTGAATAGTGCATTTTGTCCTTTTAGCTACTGCCTCTAGGAATAAACAGGCTGCAATGATAGACTATATTCCTTCTCAAAATATTTTACAGCCATGTTTGTGATTGTTTATAGCTAGACCACATTGTTATGAATTGTGTCATCATGGTGTTCATTGGAAGCGGGGTGGGGGTGGGGGTTGTTGTGGGGGATGGATATCCTCAGTGTCAAAATGTACCTGTATCACCTTGGGACTATTTTTGGGCTAATTAGCCTAACTTGCCAAGATTTCACAAGATCAGAGGATCATTTGAGACTTCTAAAGAAAAATGCCACCACACTGGGTGTTGTAAAGGTTGAAGAAGGTACTTGCTTCCCTCCTCTCTCCAGATGACATGGCTACTATTTATCATAGCATTTCGAGTTATTCTGCTATCACTGGGTGATCTATAAGGCTGTTAGTAAAAATTCTGTACTGGACAGAGGGCAGACATTTCCTATACAAATATTTATCAAAGCCTTGACCTATGATCTGGGCCTAAAGTGCTGTAAAACTTACTCCTGTGATGCTGTCTCATAAGGTCAAAAAGCTTCCTCAGATTCTTCAAGCCAGACCAGCCTGCCAAGGTTTTCCTGAAAATAACTGGCAGGACTATCCCTCCTATTGTTATCTGACTGTTATGTTTTTATTACTCATCTTCCATGGCCACACTCAATGTGTGAAAGCTGGTGAAATCCAGGCATAGGGCCATGCCGTACACCTGGGTATCCACAGGGCCCCTCCGTGCTGAGACAATGAGCCCCACTCTGCCTGTAGGTGCCCACCCACCCCGACCCCAGTTACACACTCCCATGGGACCCTAGATTTCTCCTTTGCAGTTTTTATCACACTTACACTTATTTAGCATCTAACTTCTCCAATAGAGTATATGGTCCTTGAAAGCAGTAACCCATTTCATTCATCACCGTACTCCTGGATACAGGTCAGTACCTGTGCTCCTCGTGGCACTCAGTAAGTATCTGCTGATTGGCTGATTACATGAAAACATCTTCATAGCCCAGTCTGATGCTTTACAGATTTTATGCCACATCAAAACTTAAACACACCTCCCCACACAGTAGGGAAATGTCCCATACTGACATATCCACCCAGCATTCCTTCCTTTGGTTCCTAGTCCCTGGTACAGATATCACTGGCCTGGTCAAAATATTCAATCCTCCTGGCTACAGTGAATGGTTGGGCCCCTCTCGTGCATGAATGCACCACCCTAGCCAAGCCAATCAGAACCCTCTCTTGAACTTGTTCTTCTCTGGGACCATGAGCCAAAAGGGCCACGTGAGTATGGAGTTGTCAGTGCAGGGGGCCTGCCTGGGACAGAAATCAATAGGAGACATGAAGAAAAAGCAAGCCTACAGAACAGCAACCCACTGAGACTATCTGCAATAGTCATGATTATTCCTTACCTTCAGCACCTTCCTGCATTTTTATTCTATTCAGCTTCTTCTGCTGCTCTCTTAGTAGAGCCTGCTGCTGAATCTCTAAGGTGTGATGATCTCTTGGAGGATCTGGGTACCTAAATTTCAGATCAACTCGTGTTTCTGAATCTGGTACAAAAAATATAACTAAGTTAAATATTGTTTTCAAATGAGTTTTTATAAAACTTCATTATATTATACATATGAGTAAACTGATTTCAAAATCAAGGAACAATATAGTGAAACATCACCAAAGTCAAAGGACATTAAAACAGCCATAAAACTTAAAAACATGAAATTAATTTTCTTTAATAAATGCCTTTTCACAAACTCATCAACATAAGGAAGACCCAAGAACAAGCAGTAGCATGTGGATGGTGCATTCTCCATCCCTACACCTTCCCAGTCCCCCAAGATACACCCCAAACACACAACTAGGCAACTATATGCAGGTATATCCACCTGGTTAGTTACATGGCTCTGACTCAGGCAGCCATGAGACACTATAATCATGGCTGATCCCTAAAATATACTGGAAAAATCAAAACACAATGCTATTGACCAATTAATATTTTAGCCCTTGCAAATACACAGAGAGCAAGATAAATGCATACTGGCTGGACCTTTAGGAGGAATATCATTACTGGACAAAATAATGGTCTAAGAATTCATCTCTGTCAAAATTTCATGATCAACTGACCAAAATAAAAATATTAAATATCAATTTTTAAATCTTGAGAATAAAACTATAGATCATATATATATACATATATATATAATGAAAACCCTTGAAAATATTATTCCCTTTGACCCATTAATTATACTGCTGGAATATAAAGAAATGATCCTAAATATGTAAAAAGAATTATGATCAGAAATTATCAAAAGAATAAAACAGTGAAAATGGAAAGATATCTTAAATATCTAAGAATTAGAAAATGGTTAAGAGCAGAGTTAACAGAAGAGTTTTTGGATACAAGCTTAGATTAAACCCCGGCTTCACCGTTTCCTGACTCAGTAAAAAACAATACCAACAACCAGGTGACAGGCTGAATGAGGTCTAGAGGGCATAACACAGGGAAATGAATGGCTCAACTCCATGGCTTAAACCTTTCTGGTCTCAGGACCATTTTATATTCTTAAAAATCCAGTGCCCCAAAGAGCTTTTATTTACGTCTCTGTCTCTCTCTCTCTCATACACACACACACACACACACACACACACATTTGCCATATTAGAAATTAAAACTCAGTCATTTATAAAACACAAGAATACATAAACACACATTCTATTAGCTTCAGAAAGATGAAGTCATCACATGTTCCACAGCCTCTGGAAAACCTGCATACATATGGGACAATGAGAATGTAAAAGATGAATAATGTCTTAGTTTATAATAAAATCAATTTTGTTCTCATAGGTCCCCATACCAAACTCTTGAGTCCCACTAACTAAATACAATCTCTGGCAAATAGTAATTGATAATTGGTAATATAAAAAATTACTATCGTATGTGTAATTTATGATACATGTAAATAATCTAAGTAAAAAAATGAGAAAAAATTAAGTGAATAACATAATTATAATTGTTTTGGTTTTAATTATGTACAAAAAGACTAGAAGGCATCCCAAATGTTAACGGTGCTTAAATAGGTGGTTTGACTAAAGTGATTTTTCTTTCTATCTTTCTGTATTTTGAAAATCTGCTACAATAAATAGATAATACTTTCAAAGAGAAGAAAAGTTTATCTGGCATAGGTCATAGCCACACATCCAACAATTTGTCCTCTCTGCTCTAACACCTGCTGGGCTGAACGCTCCTAAAGAAAAAGCACATATAACATACACTTCGGTTCCTCTATGCATTTTTAGTCTCCCAGGCCTCCTATAGTTCGGCAATCCTGTTTCCATACTAAGCTTTCTCTCCCATTCTCCCTAAAGGGCTACATCAAATCTTCTCTCAACTCTCTTCCCTCAATCCTCTAGATTGCCTCAGGCCTACCCAGGCCCAGCTCACTTGGCAATCACTCCCTCCCTCTCCTGTGGCCAGAGCCTCTTCTTCCAGCACAGCAGGCTCTTCACATTTGCTCCCTAACAAGTCCCTCTGGCTCCTGACTCCCTCCTCCCCTTCCCCAGCCAAGCTTCTTCCAAGGGTAGACTTATGACTGTTGTCTCCGACATCCTGCCTCCGAAGTCAAGCCTCAATTCACTTCTGTTCCACTCAAAAAGATCTAGTTGAAGTCACCAACGACCTCTGACCACAGACGTTTTCTGGTATTCATCTTACGGGATCCCTTCTCCTTGATACACTCACTCTCTGCTCTCAGCTTTCAGGATCCCACATTTTCCCACTTTTCCTCAGGTTGCCTGACTTTTCCTCAGTCTTTCTCAAAAGCTCATCTTGCTCTGTCCACGCTGTATTAAATACCAAGTTCCGTTCTTCACACTAGTCTACTTTATCTCATCCACCCGAGGCTTTAATAGCTCTATGGTCTCCAAAAGAAAATATTTAGCCAAAATAAAGCTTCACTGACCACATTACTGAAGTGAAGAACTAGAGTATATAGAAGTTTTATTCATTGTAACTTAAATATCATACATAAAATTTTACTTTAGGAAAAAGGGTACAAACAGCTTTAAAGATACTTAAATATGGATAAAACACTCTTGCTATATCTTTAAAAGTGCAGCATTCTACTCACCTCTATCTTTTAGCTCATTAAAATCATGAATATTCTGAAAAGTGATAGCATCTAAGCCCTTAGGTGACTGTCTTCTGACAGGAGCTTGCAACCGAAGTCTAGCCATGTCAAATATATCCATGGGATTCCTTTCTCTTTTCCTATAGATGAATGACAAATCATAATAGTGCTTTATAAGACAAAAATCCAAGTTCACATTTCATTCACTGTAAAAAAAATTTGGTCTTTCACCACAGTATATTATAAAAATTATTTTAATAGGTCTGTTATTTCAATTCTTATCTTAAAACACAGTATTTGTAAGGTCGTTTTAATTTTTCAAACTGCTCAGATGCAGGGTACCTAATTGCCAATACAAGAGTAGAATAATTCAGCTTTACCTTAAAATGCTCATGTAAGTACAAGGATCACAGTCTTTAGAGTCAGAGAAACTGAGATTCAAAAACCAGCTGTTACTTATTAGCAGTTTGACCTTGATTTCATCACCTGGAAATTGCAGATAATGTCTATTCCTTACAGTCTTTTTAAGAGAGAGAGGGTCTTGCTATGTTGCTCAGGCTGGTCTCAAACTCCTGGCCTCAAAGCAATCCTCCTGCCTTGACCTCCCAAAGGGCTAGAAATACAGGCATGAGCCACCACGCCTAGCCCAATCCCTTATGGTCTTGTTGTGAACAAAAGAATTAAGAGAAATTCTATATTATAAAGTGTCCAGCATAGTACCTACCATATATTAAGCAATGAACAAATATTACCTTCCCCTTTGCCTGAAGTAGAAATTATACAGAGAAATATAGTATTAATATACTGTTCAATATAATGGGTATTATCCAGAGTACCCAACATAATATTACAAAGGACTTTCAGGGAACTTGATACCTAATTGATATTCTATTTCTGTGGTACCCAGGAAATTAACACAACAGGCAGATAGCTTAGTAAGGGGGCCTTTTGCTAGGGCTTGGGGGGAATGACAATAAGAGGGGACAGGGATGGGGGATGGTATTTCTAGTCCTGAAAGTAAAATAAAACCAAACATCTACTGCTGCTTCCCTCAGCAATAGGTAGGTCTCTTCTATTTCTGAAAATGTAGCTGTCAGCTACAGTCACTGAGGTTTGGTCAGACTCCTTCGTCATTCCTCTATCATTAAATCTTCCCTAGGCAGTTAGACAGGAATAGCTGGGATCCCCATGGGCAATGCCTCTGCTCTCATGGAGTTTCCTCTTTTTTGGTGGGGAGGGGATTAAACCGCCCTGTCAAGACAGACACAGACCCCTAATATTCACCAAGGGTGATAGGAACTCCATGGAGATTAAAATGCAAAATACCAAAAAGGCTTCTAGGAGACCATTAAATTAGACTCCTATCTAGAGTCCATTAATGCTAATAGAAGAACAGGCTGGTAAATTAGGAATTAGGTTATTAAATCTCTATATGTGAGCTGCATCATGTTTGTTTTATGCCTAGCACATAATAGGAGCTTGATAATGTGGTGAATTAATTAATATGAGATACATTTTGTGAAAATATTTATAAAATTGGAATAGGGAACCAACCCTGAGATGTCTTTAATCATGACACATATTAAAAATCATACCAAAGTAAATGTATTTAACCAATTCTTGCTAAATGATCATAACTCTAACATATATTGTCTACCTGAAGCGAGAACTCAAGAGTTACAAAGTAATTTCAAATACATACATTTATTTTTCACTAGAATCTCCCAGGGTAGAAATTATCATGTATAATTTTCAAGTGAGAATTTTGAAAGGTTGCTTGAATGAAAATAATACAAATGAATAAAATATCAACAATCTATTACACTAAATTAAATATGCATGTTTGGAAGATGGAAAGCGGCAATGGTTAAGGTGTTTATAACATCATAAAAGTAAATATAGAAAAAATACACTACTTTTCAATTACTCAGAAGTTGTTGGCCTACTATGAGAGAATTACTCATTGAAAATTACCACTATGGATTCACATTTCATTATTTAGCCAGTCTATATCTTGAAATTTCCTCACCTCGTTTCCCTACTCACACTATATCTGAAGAATACAAACAAGACTCTAAGGAAAGCATAATTAGGCAGGTTAACATGCTACATTAAAGTCATACCACATCCTGGATTAGAGTCAGAGACATTAGTATGAACTTGATATACAAATGGATAGACACAGGAACAGTTACAATTATATTTATGACTTAGTATATGTGCATATATTATCCAGCTATGTTCACCCAAAGGCCCAGAAGCAATGACATCTAGCAACAAGCACACCCAGTGCCCAGAGCTTGGTTTCTAAATACCATTCTCCAAAAGGAACCAGATCTCCTTTGAGAAATGGCTGATTCTAGGGCTGAGGCAGGAGAAATACAAGATGATCCCAGGGCATCTTGCAGTACCAGAAAATAAGAAAGTGTTCAAAAAATAAAAAGATGGGGACATGTTGAAGGGACACAAGAGCCAATCTAAAAAAAGCTCCCAATGGCCAAAGCTAGAACAATTTCAGCAACAAAATAAGGTAGTATTTAGATTATAACCCAGAGCATAAAATAAATGTTCGTGAGACAACAGTGGTATAAACAAATGATTGAATAAATAAAGAAGTAGAAGAAAAGACAAATCTTTCTTACATGAAAATTCTAAAAAATGAATACAGGTCATCCCTCCAGGATATGGAGCTTAACCCCACCTCCTCCTTCCCTTGCTCTTTTGAGCATGATAGATTTAGTGATTTGTGACTGAAGAAAAGTTAATTTTCCATTGGAGAAAGCTGGCAAACACTACTTTAACCAAGGTTAAGGTTTCCATCACCAGAGATGTCATGTGAATCTCATGACATCTCATGACATCATGAATCATATGATGTGATGTGCGAATAGCACCCTGTGCTATTCTTTCCAAAAAGCCTAGTCTAATCATCAGAAAATATCAGGCAAATCCAGACTGGTGGGGGCACTCTACAGGATACTTGGCCAATACTCCTCTAGACTTTCAGTTACTGAGAAACCGTCCAGACCAGAGGAGACTGGGAGATGTGACAACTAAATGCAATCTGGTACCTTATACTGGACTCTAAAACAGAAAGAAGACGTTATTGGGAAAACTGGACAACTCCAAAAGTCTGGAATTTAGTTAATAGTAATGTTCCAGTATCAGCCGCTCAGTTTTGACAAATATATCCTGGAAATACATTAACAACATGGAAAATTGGGTGAAGGGTGTACAGAAACTCACTGTACTATGTTTGCAACATTTTTATAATCTAAAATTATCCCAAATTAGAAAATTTTTTTTAAAAAAAGAAAGGGTATAGTTACCCACTATGTCGATTTTATAACCTACTAAAGCATTTCAAATTGAAGTTTGAAGAACACTGTTTTAGAAAATTTGAGTCCTTCCAGCAAAAATGCTCAGAAATGTTTGGTGCCTCTAAATGATTTTGTTGGGAAAAAAGGCATTTCAGAAAGTATTAATTGTTAAAGGAAAATGTTAAAAACAGTTCTAAAATGCAATTGTCAGTATTTATTCCAACCCTGCAATTTTCCTACATCATTATTCCCCTTGAGGACTAAATTTCTATACCTGATTTCTAGAAGATTAAAAAAGGGAAAGGAGATTGTAAAGAAGATGAATTAATGTTGTTCCAAAACTACAGAATTATTGGTAGGTGACATAAAACAACTCAAGAAACAATAAAAACTGCAATTCTAAACTTGCCTTATAGGAGTTTCATCATCACTGTCCATGTGTAGCAACCGCCCTTGTAGACGCCTCTCTTCACTACGAAGTTGTTTTCTCATTTCTGATAATTCCATAATTACATTTTTTTTCTCCTCTGCAAATTCACATTGATAAGTAAAAAACAAGACAGGTGCAAGAACAAAAGATTAAATGTTAAAACTAACCTGACTTATCATAAAGCGAAAATGCTCAGAGACACATTTTTATGGAAGATATTTTTAATGTTTTACATATACAGATCATATTTATGAACATTAAGACCCACAAATACATTTTTGATAATAGGAATTTCAAAAAGTTAAGAGCTATTCTTTGGGTGGAGGGAGCGCAACTCTACAGGGGCAACACGAGGGAGTGCTGGGACAGTGGTGATGGGACGGTTCCATATCTTGACTGCATGGTGGTTACACAAATGTACGTAAGGACACACAGAACCCCCTCTCCCCCCCCCACAGATAATACACTCACAAATGCATGTAAAAACTGGTGAATTCTGATGAAGGTCTGTAGAGCCTTCCAATGACATCCCAATGTCAGCTGCCTGGCTGTGATACTATACTAAGGTGTTTCCACTGCAGGTATACAACATCTCTCTACACCTCACAACTTTCTGTGAGACTGTAATTATTTCAAAATAAAAAGTTAAAAAAAAAAAGAAACACTCTAGATTACAGGTTTAATAGTTAACTCTACCTTCTGCACGGAGCTGATTTTTCCTGGCAGGTACTGGAGGAGACTGTGGCCTGGACATGGAATTTTCCTGTTTAACAATAATGACAGAGATATGCTCAGTATGCCTGCCTGACTCAGAAGCTTGAAGGGAGCGATTTATTGAAATACCTATATGTATAGGAGACCAAACTCCACATTACCTACCTATAAAACTTATACATCTCTATCCACACTTACATCTAAACCACATCTGTATATATTGTTCCTTCTTAGCACAATGGACAGGCCCCTGTCCCCATCCAAAGAGAAGCCATTGATCTGTGCTCTGTATGTGATAGTGATGCCCACCTCCTCCAATTATTCTCTTTCTTCAATTTCTTCCTCTCTCCCAGCACTGTCCTCTTAGCCTATGGATAAAAACCTCTCCCTTTTTAAAAAATTCTTCCCTCACCTTTCATCACTGTCTCCTGTCAGTTCTCTCCTTCTCTTCACAGCTGAGCTTCTTTAAAGAACAATAATGCAGCACTTCTGGGGTTCACTTCCTTTTTCCCATTCACTCCTCAACACACAGCTTCTGCCTTCACTTCTATACCCCACCACTCCAACAACGCTGCCCTCACCTAATTCAGAGTGATCCCCAAGTGACGCATTCAGTAGGCATTTTAATCCTCATTTTACTTGGCCAGCAGCAGCTGACACGTCACTGCCACTCTCTCTCACCCTCTCCATCTCCACTCCTTTCCTGGCTTCTCAAACGTTAGTGTTTGCCCTAGTGCTCCATGCCCGGCCCCCTTTACTTCTCCCTCCAGACACTCTTGGAGACAACTGTACAAATTTAACATGCACCAATATCTTGGTGGCTTCTAAAGTGCCAAAACCAGTCGAGAACTCTTTCCTCAGCCACAACTCATATTTTCAACTCCCTACCCTACAAAGCCCTCACCAGAAACTAGAGAGCTAGCATGACTCCCACCCACCGCATGCTCAGTCAATAAATACCACTACTGTGCTTCTCAAATATATCATGAAGCTGTCACACTTTCCTAGCTCTCGGTGTCACTGCCTGTTTAGCTCCTCAAAGACTCACATCTAGACTTCTGCAAAAGCATCTTATCTCCACATTTATAGTCTTGCTCCATATCCAAAGAGTATCTCCACACCACTGCCTGAGAAATGGGGCCACGTCATTCCCCCACTTAAAATATTACAATGAATTCACATGTATTATCTACTATATACCTACTGAATCAGAATCTCAGAGGGTGGGATTTAGGAAGATGTTTTTCTAACACATTTTCTTTGCCTATCCTGGTAATTAGCCTGTTTGGAATCCACTAGCCTATGGGATGAAGTCAAAGCCCTCAGCACTGCCCACAGTACCCCACATACGTTCTGACCTCCACCTGCACTGCTTCCTTAGTGCACTGGAATCATCAGGTCAGACCAAACCATGGAAGAGCCTCCATGTGTGCCATGTAGCTTATACTGCCCTCTGTGACTCTGCACATGCTAAAAGTCCCTCACTCTCCTCCTCTTTATGGCAAATTCCTACTCATCATTCAGTATCAATTCAATGAGCAATACTTCTTGAACATATTTCCTGTTCTCTTTTGATTGTAGCTCAGTATAAAGTATAAGAGACTTCATGAGCATAACTAGCTAGCTAGCTAGCTATATTTTCTTTTTTACATCTTTTTTTTTTTTTTTAGAGAGAGAGTCCTACTCTGCTACCCAGGCTGGAATGCAGTGGTGCCATCATAGCTCACTGCAGTCTTGAACTCCTAGGTTCAAGTGATCCTCCTGCCTCAGCATCCCAAGTAGCTGGGACTAGAGGTATGTGCCATCACACACAGCTTTTTTTTTTTCTTTTGGTAGAGATAGGGGCCTCCCTAGGTTGCCCAGGCTGCCCTGGGCAAATCCCTGCCCATAAGTGATCCTCCTACCTCGGCCTCTCACAGGGCTGAGATTATAGGCATGAGCCACCATGCCAAGCCTTAAAAGATATATTTTCAAAGAAAGGACCTTCTTATGGGTGGGGGGCTGGAAAAGAATTATTTGCTCAATTATGATTTGTCAAAAGAATTAAACTTTAGGGTACCAAGTACTATAAGTTACAACTGAAGCAGAAGATAAATTAATATAGACATCACCTGTATTTCAGATCTGAAAAAATTTAATCTATTCAGATATGATAAGAAAATCTCACTCAATATCCTGAATCCAAAATAACCGAGCTAAGGTTAAGAAATCAAAACAAAAAGTACATACATGAATATAGGAACTTATGATGCTGTCAACAGAAGGAGGTCTTTGGAGTTTGCTTGCAATTTTGTTCTGAAGAGCAGGAACTACAGGAGAAGGCTGTCTCAAGTGCTGAAAAATTTAAGAATATATATGCATGTGTGTGTATATATATATATCTCTCTAAGAAGTTCAGATTGTTATTGCTTTTATTGAATAAAATACTTTTTACAAAAAAATCACAAATTCAATTATATAAGATCAAATATATTGGTTCTGATAAACAAATAGATTTAGATATTCTTATTAAAAGAACATGACTCTGATTAGGATAAAAAAAATCAACAAACTCAAGTAAAACAACAGCATACCAAATATTAGCAAATCAACAGAAAAGTGATAGCCAAAGTGAAAAATCATCTTAATAATAAAAAGGAAAATAGGCCAACACACAAAAAAACAAAATCCCTTTTCTGGAAAACAATATAATCAACCTCCAGTATCTATATCCCCTGTCACCAATAGCATCATGGGTGAGGGATTTTCAAGATCATAGTGGTGTTCTATGTCTCCATGAGAAAATAAAACGAGATTTCAGTTTACAAGTGTAAATAGGCCCCAACTTTATATTAAAATCAAAACACTGAAGACATAAAAACTCCCAACAAAATGCAAAAATAATTATCTAAGTTTAAAAACAAAAGAAAAACCTAGACCCAAATATATGTGTGGAATTTATATTCTTCATTTTGCATGATTAAAAATTCACTGTAACATCAATAAAATTAAAAATATGCGAGATAGTATTTTTTTAAGCCTCTAAGGTGACCCACAAGCAGAATTAGAAAGACAATGTAAACTTTCTAAAGTACTGTAGAGGATAAAACAAATAAATCATAGTCCACATAACAAAAAACTATCAAGGAAACAAAAAAAAAGTCAGAAATTCAATTAATACAATCAAATATATTGGTTATGATAAATATAAATGGATTTAGATATCTCTATTTAAAAGATTGTAACTCTCAGGATAAAAAATTCAACAAACTAAATAAATATACAAGCTAACTAGAAAATAAAATATGGTGACACAAAGATAAAAACTAAAAGAGCAGACAAAAAATAAGTATGAGGCATACAAAAAATGGAAAAGCAATGACAAATAAATGTTAATTTCTGAAATGAAGGCAAAATGCATTAAATGGAAGAAAGTGATTTAAAACTTTATGGTACTTCACAATTAAAGTGTAAGTCATAAAATCATATGTTCCTGAGAAATAGTGTTTTTTAAACAGAACAAGAAATTGGCAGAAACATAATTACAGACACTAGCAACTCTTTCATTCTTAAATGATGAATCTGACAATAAAAAATCTTTATATGCTTTCTGCTTAATTTTGCTGTAAACCTAAAACTGCTCTAAAAACAAACTTTATTAGCTTAAAAAATTAAGGATATGGCATTTGAATAATAAATGTTTAATGACTGAACAACTATATATCAAATTTTTATCCTAAGAATGAAGACTATTGCCTAATATTCCTAGAACACTGAAAATAAACAATACAATCAAAAATATAGCTCTTACTTATAAATTTTCTTTTAAATACTCTTTCAGTAAATTCTAATTGTGAATACTTATATCATTTCCATCACTATAAAACTCAGGATGAGAAATCAAATTAGCATATTTGAGCCGCTCAGAAATGGCTCATGCAGTTCATAAACTGAACAATATAAGAGACCACATCATAAATATACTAACAGGAGTCCATTGGTTAAAAGGAAACTTTCCGTGAATCCTGCTTAGAAGAAATGAGGTTTGTATAAATACAAATTTCCAAAAACAATTTTCTTACATTAAATTGGGCTAAATTTAGAAGATAAACAGGATTTTTCAAAGTGTGGTCTCCTGGCCAACTGCATCCAAATCCCTTATAAAATCCAGATTCTTGAACTTCTCTGAGACTTAGCAAATCACCTTGCACTGAGAACCCAGAAACGTGCATTTCTAACCCCCCAACAACACTTAAGCATATAAAATTTTAAATATAATTGTAGAGATAAGAGCAAGGGTGTGAACTGGATCCACATAAGGGCCAATCAACTTTCTAGAGAGAAAAACCTCTGACTTTGACTCACACACCTAACTCTGAACATCAACCTTTTATCTCAGAAATACAAACTTCTCAGCTTCTTTTTAAATTTCCAATCCATCACAGACAATTATATAAAATAGAGTAAGAACAAATTACTAGATAAATGAAAAAATTTTAAAGGCATATAAAATACAGACCCAATATTTGTATTAGTAGATTGAACAGACATAAAATTACTTTGACCAGTTGTCAATAGTTTCCAAACCCTCTCGATTTCTGTATTTAGTTTTGTCATGAACCATAACAAACATAGTTCACAGGGTGCTAATCCAAAGACCATACTCTCGTGTAGAAGCTCTGTATCCTATGGAAATAAGACTAAGAATGGCAAAGGTGACTAAACCCATTATTACATCCAATGGGCAGAAAATACCAACAAAGCACAGTGATAGCATCTCATACAGGAAGTTCAGTATAACGTGCCGAGATTAACCAGTAAGAAGAGAAACAAAGGTACCTTTTTCTAACAACTCCACAACTCTCACAGTGGAAGTGGGTTAAATATGGGTCTGACTGACGTTTTTGTCTGAAATTTACCTTTGTGTCTTCCCCAATTATATTTTCTCTTTCATAGTAGTGCTGAAGTTGTAGGTTATGTTTTTCTTCTTCTTCCTTCTTCTTTCTTTCTGCTTCTTTTCGCCTTTCTTCAGCTAACCGAATAAGCTCTTCGTTTTTTAGCCTTTGCTTTAAAATAGAAAAATATACACTCCATATGTACATTCTATAGTACATTCAAATATGTGCTACTTTATTTGTCTGATATAAAGAGATAAAATTAAAGATATGGATGGCCAGGCATGGTGGCTCACGCCTGTAATCCCAGCACTCTGGGAGGCCGAGGCAGGAGGATAGCTCAAGGTCAGGAGTTCAAAACCAGCCTGAGCAAGAGCAAGACCCTGTCTCTACTAGAAATAGAAAGAAATTAATTGGCTAACTAAAAATATATAGAAAATATTAGCTGGGCATGGTGGCGCATGCCTGTAGTCCCAGCTACTCGGGAGGCTGAGGCAAAAGGATTGCTTAAGCCCAGGAGTTTGAGGTTGCTGTGAGCTAGGCTGATGCCACGGGACTCTAGCCTGGGCAACAGAGTGAGACTGTCTCAAAAAAAAAAAAAAATATATATATATATACACACACACACACATATACATATATATATATATGGATACAGCGTTAACATAAAGAAGTCTGCTTAACAAAGTATTAGGCATCTTTTATAACATTTTTAGACAGCCTACAACTATTTTTTACTTAAGCCATCATTTATCCCTTTTCTTAAATTACTGTTTCAGCTTAATAAAATACCTAATGAATGGATATGGATTTGATATTTTTGAAATGTACTCTGAGACATTTATTTTTTTATTATCCTTTGTAAGTAACAAATATTTTTTCCAGTTAAAGATTTCACCTTAAAATTAAGTAGTAAAACAGTAGGGGGAAAACACACCTCCTCCTCTTTCTCTCTCTTCTTTTCCTGTTCCTCTTCATATTCTTGCTGAATGCGTGCCCGCTGTTCTGCAAGCCGCCTCTCTTCTCTTTCTTCTGCAATTCTCAGTCTCTCTCGCTCTGCTTCCTCTCTTTGTTTCTTTTCCTCAATCTAAAGAATTAAACATAGTTATTTATTTTATAGAACTAATGAAAAGTCAGAATACTACTTATTTTTTCCTGGTAGCCTATAAATTCAATATTTGTACCCTCTTTTTGCAAGTTCCTAAAATTAAGTTACTAAATTTTTTAGTCTCCTATTTTTTTAGGGAAGCTACATGATATACTACACTGTCAAAAGCTATGAGTTAAATTCCAGCCCCACTAAATGTTATGACCTTAAAAAACCTGCTTGTCCTTAGTTTTCTCACCTGGTAAAAAAGAGTTATTAATGTCTACAGCTCAAAGGAGTGCTCAAAGAATTAAAGTGAAACAATGTCTGTAAAGAACTAAAGTTTCTCCTAAATAAAATATTCCCAGTAAATAATTCATGATTATATTATAATGATTGTACTATTACATCTCAAAGTCCTTGGACTTGATTAGTATTCTGAAACAACAGTGAATATTTTAGTATTCAATCATTTTTTATGCAAAAAGCGCTTCCCCCAAATGCCCTTTCTTTGTTCTTATCTGGCAGATCAATGGAGAAAGAACTAAAGCTGTTAGATGTAGGATTTAGGTCACAATGATTTATAACTGTTTTGTCTTGAATGCTACCTGGGCCTGCACAGTGGAGTATTCTGGGTGGGATACTGTAAGGTAGAGCCGAGGATCTGAAGGACAGAAGGCCCTCAGAGGTAGTCCTCATCCTCCATGAAGGAGGCAGAGAAGAACAGCAGCATGGGTTCCAAGTATCCATGACTCTGGTTTAAGGACATCAGTAGATCTTAGTTACCCTTAGGAATAGATTATGATGATCTATAGTATTTGTTTTTCGTCTCTGCATTTCCTCTAGCTTCAAGGTTGCTCTGTCTAGCGCTGTCAATTTTTGAGCTATAAGAACTTTATTCTTGGCCGGGCACGGTGGCTCACGCCTGTAATCCTAGCACTCTGGGAGGCTGAGGCGGGAGGGATCACTCAGGGTCAGGAGTTCAAAACCGGCCTGAGCAAGAGCAAGACCTCGTCTCTACTGTAAATAGAAAGAAATTAATTGGCCAACTAATAGATATAGAAAAAAAATTAGCCAGGCACGGTGGCACACGCCTGTAGTCCCAGCTACTCGGGAGGCTGAGGCAGGAGGATTGCTTGAGCCCAGGAGTTTGGGGTTGCTGTGAGCTAGGCTGACACCATGGCACTCACTCTAGCCTGGGCAACAAAGCAAGACTCTGTCTCAAAAAAAAAAAAAAAAAAAAAAAGAACTTTATTCTTCTCACATGTCCCATGATTTTATATACTAGGCCTTTTTCTAACACTTCTTTCTTACATCCCTATTAAATATGCACAAGCATAATAGTTAAGACTTTCTGTAAGCAATGTGAAACAATGTGCATGTAATCACTTCAAGTACAACATTCCTAGAGAAAACATTTATAATCCAACAAAATCTCATATTCAACACTCAGTTCCCCATTATTGCTACTCCATAAAGAAACACTCACAGGGTCACTTCTCCATCAAAATCAAACACTACTAGTTTGTAAGCCATTAATGGACCATACCTCTAGGAAATGGAAAGCTTAATGATAACAGGAATGCTACACAACAAAAAGAGGAAAGCTGTCTTCTAGGTCATGGATATGAAACTATATAATATAAAAGTGCTTCAGAAGTCTTACAGATATTTTATTAAGTTTAATTATTTTTAAAGCTATAAATAAAACCAAACACAAGTGTTATTTACTTAATTTTAATAGCATGAAGACTTCTGATGCATTTACTTGAGCTAAATGTATAACTTCATTGTACAGATCTTCTTTGTGTATAGATTTGAACATTTTATAATATTTAACACTTAAGTTTTAGACACTTTTTGTCTGACATTCCATTGTTGGTTGTATAATAAATACCATTTTCTTAGAATTCTGTGTTAGATTTTGTTTTACATGGGAGAAAGAAATTTTTAAGAGGCTGTTAAAGGAAAAATTTGAAAACTACCATTTGAGAGCGATCCATTCATAGATACACTGAGGGTTCACAGTATGAGAGAACCAAAGGCTGAAACCAAAATAGTCAAATTTCCCCATTACTATAGTTTTTTCTAGAGGGAAAGAATTTCTAGAGATCCCTATAAAGTATGGTACCCACAGATTATTTACTTGAAGTCAGGAGGAACTTGGGTTCAAGTACTGGCCTCACAATTTGCTAGCTCTGATACCATGGGCAAGCCATTAGTCTATGTTTTAGTCACATGTCATAAAATAGAGATAATACCACCTTTGTCAGAGACTACTGAGGTTTAATGAGATACTATATGTAAAATTATAAGAAAATGCTATATAATTGTAACTTTTTTTTTTTTTTTTTTTGGACCCTGGTAAGACTTGCTAAGTATAACATGAGTTACTTAAATTGGTACTTGCTGTCATTATGGACAATATACCACAGGTCCTTCAAGTTCAACAGGTAACTAACTATACCCTCAACCTACTGCTACCTGACTTGAATGAACAATACCCTTGGGATCTCTGATGCCAGTTTCTCACATTCAATATCTATGTTGTTTCTGTTGATCCTCACAAAAGGCCTTTCCATCTATTTCCACTATAAACCCTCTAGTAAAATAGCCCTGCTTTCAGTCTTTTCAATCCTCCACTAATACATCTTAAACATTACTGTCAGATCAATCATCAGTGAAGACTATATCTATTATGTCACTGCCTTATTTAAGAATCAACAATAATCAGTATTAGAAAGAAGATGAAATGTTAAAATGGAATCTGTTTAAGGGTTTGGTATTAGATTGGATAGACTTAAATGTCAAGCTAAAGAGTCTAGACAACTTCTGTAGGCAAAAAAAAAAGCTACCACCAAGTTTTGAGTAAAGAATAGCATGTGAAAACTCATATCAAAGGAAGAATAGCCAGGCCACAAGATTAATCTGACCCTGGGATGTAAGTGTGGTGTGAAAAGGAGGGAGGTAAGGAAAGAAGAAACTCTAAGTCCCATTTGGGTCAGTATCTTATTCATCTCAGGCTCCATTCCTAGTATTCAGCACAAGGGTAAACACAGTATGGGAATTTAACAAGTCCGTTAGGCTAATAATCACTGGATATGCAAGTGTCTTCCTCTGGGAATAGTTTGGGCATTTCTACTATTTTAAATGCTATTTTCTTACATACAAAAATGGGGCAAATAATTCCAAAATATGGTTACCTTACATCTCATTTTATTTATTTACAATCTGCAATGAATCAAGAATATAAAATCATTTGGAAAAAAACTATTGATTTTCTACTAACTTATAAATTACTATAAAGACATCTAGAATGCCCAATAGATGAATATTTTAGTAATATTTTAGTCTTTCAGTTTTAAAAATCTCAGCATTCTTCATTTTTAAATTAATGATTTAATAAAGTTTAGAAATGATTAAGTCAGCCACCATACCTAATATACCTCATTTCCTTTTTCCAGATATAACTGAAATAATAATTTTAGTACCACTTATATTTGATATAAATTAGGTATTTTAAGTAACTACACAGCATTTTATAATTTAATATTTATCCTGTGGAGAAAATTTCTGCAAGTTCAATTTATTCAAATTCTTATAAAACTCTGAAATTATGATCAAATAAGCATTTCACCTGGAAACGAAGAAAATTCTTGTATAATTCTTGCTGTTTAATCTGAAGTTCAGTTGGAGGCTCACCAAATATATTTCCCCGAGCAAAAGGAGAGCACTGTGATTGCATATGACCTTAAAAGAGATGTTTTGCAAAAATATACTATTAGCTAATGCTTAGAAAATGTAAAGGTTTAAGAATAAAGAGTTTGCTAATAAATTCATATTTTTAAAAACTGTTAAATACAAAAGGCCAGGTTAAAATCAGAAGAGGAAGGCTCACATTAAAATCTGAAGATCAGATAAAAAGTAACAAAGGAAAGAAAAATGGTAAAACTAAAATAAAATTAACAGTTAAAAATTATACTGTATCTAATAGCTAACCACGACCAAGGAAATATAAATGCTAATAGCCTAAACAACTCTCATTGCAGCAAAGGCTTTAAAGTAGAATTTATGAAGAAAAAAAAAAAAGCACATGTTTAAATTCTTATGTATATGACTATCATTTTACTTAAGAATACTGCTTAATTGCATTAAAATGTATTATACATGTATATTTTTAAATTTCTAAAATTGTTTTTAAAAATCAGTAACTCCTTACTGATGGAAAATGGCTGAGAAAAAAAAAAAAAAAAAAAAAAATCAGTAACTCCAAAATTCTTCTCATCCATAGTTTAAACAGATTAGGAATTCAGCTATAAAAACAATTTTAACAATTTTAACAAATTAGAATGAGTCTTAGTCATTGTGATAGTTTTTATTTTAAAAACTGTCAGAGCCTGGCACAGTGGCTCACACCTGTAATCCCAGCAATTTGGGAGACCAAGGCAGGGGATCACTTGAGGCCAGGGGTTCAAGACCATCCTGGGCAACACAGTGAGATCCCATTTCTACAAAAATTAGCTGGATGTAGTGGCGCACACCTGTCATCTTAGCTACCTGTGGGCTAACGCAGGAGGATCGCAATGAGCCCAAGTAGTTTGAGGTTATAAATTCTTGAGCCAAGAGTTTGAAGTTATAGTGAGCGATGATCAAGCCTGGGCAACACAGTGAGAACATCTCTTAAGGAAAAAAAACTATCAAATTAATGAGATATAAACATGAATGATAATTTTATTATATATTGCCTATAGTTTTAAATATTCTCAAAAAAGAAAAAATTATTTCATAAAAGCACTCTGAAAAACAATTATGCCCTTGGAGTCTCTTTGAATGCAGATAAAAAAAAAAGACATTTAGATTTAAGCCTAAGTTTCTGACACTTTATTTACATCATCAATCCAACACATGTATTTCTCTCATTCATGTAGGTTTGTGTAGACTGCTTGCAGTGTAGCTGCCATTCAGGTCTATTTTGCCTTTGTATTTAAATCTATTAACACTTAGATCAGCATGTTTAGATTAACCGTTAGATCTGCTGAACAGATCAATGAAAGCCAAATTAATACTTAGACATTATAAATACTTTTTTCCACTAGAAATTTTGCTATTGAAAACAAACTAAATACACACTTTGAGGGTTCTTTTATATCTTATGCTGTGGTATAAAAGCTGATTAGCAAAACAAAATTGAGTAGCATGTTTTACTTTAATGATCACTTAGTCTAAACCTTTGGGGCAATTAGAGAAGAAATACCATTAGAGACAGACAAATATTATTAGAAATGAATAAACTATAAAATATACAAAGAAAATAAAAGTGTATCTAGATATCTTAATAAGATAAAAAATAAATTTAAGCCAAACTAGTACTGGACTTCATAAATAGCAGCTCATCTAAAAACTATAAAGAAAAATAATGAAGTGCCCACAAACAGGCCTAATGAAATGAAACAACAGAGAATGAACCTCAAACACATAAATTCAATTTTCAGATATATTTGAGTTCCTTAAGGCCTTTAAAATATTAAATGCCACATATATTCATAGTTATGTATGTGTATATGTATATACACACATACACACATGCATTCAAACACATATATATGGCATAGCATATATTAGGTAGCTTTGGATAGCTTCTTGCATTCAGAAAGTTTATTTTAGATTAATTTGTGGGGAAATGAAGTCTAATTTACGGAATTTCAATTCACAAGAAAAGGAAAATGTTACCCATTTAATGATTTTTTAATGATTTTTGCAAAATAGAGCATCCTGGCACCACCACCAGCATAAAAACCTGGCAGTGGATAGAAAGGCTATAGACAACAAATTTTGCTGTGTGTTCAATCATCAGGCTTATGCTTTTGGGAAGGGGTCATGGCAACTATTGATTTTCCAGTGTTTTTGCTTGGTAAACAGAGTAAGCAGCCTAAAAGCGTTAGTACTAACAGAGAAAGTTGCAGGCTGAGACAGAACTACAAACAATACTTGGTATGGAAGAAAAGGGTAGAGACAGAATCTACAAAGCACTGAGATCTCAATGCAGACTATCACAAGCAGCAGCAAATGAAGAAGAAAAAATTAACGATAATCAGAAAGAAGTCAAAATTCTCTCTTAGCAGCAACAATATGAAAAGATGTTTTGATACTCCTACAATATACTGAATTATTAGATTAAGAGAGCCAAATCAATTATTTCATCAAAATCATAAGTTCTAATTTTAGTGCTCCAAAAATCAAAATTGGATCCAATAGGTAAAAATCTATTGTGGATCAAAGTAAGAAAGCATGTTCTCATAATTAGAGATCAAACACTGGAACAGACTGCCCATGGCAACAGCAAACTACCCGTCTCCTAAAGTGTTCAAAAAGGCTGTAGTGATTAGTGGCTGCCATCAAAAACTTGAAAGATGCAGAGCTAATGACTCTAATCATGGCTCCCTATTTACTCATCAGTTTAGCCCACATAAAGGTTAAAAACAAAAAAAGACTACATACAGGATCAGTTAAAAATATTTTAGAACTTCCTAACATAAAGTTCTTTTCTAGTCTAACATCAAAACGTCAGTGAAAGTACAAAAGCAGAATTTTGTAGTAAATAAATGGTTATTTCTATAGGCATTAAAATATAGTGCAAGGTGGTATATTCTTTAAACTTCACCTGATTTTTAAATATATAACACACTTTCATATATACTTGACAACTTTTCCTGGCATGTCATTAAAAAGATACTGAATAAACTTTCAATTTATACAACTTTTAAGTAAAGGATGTTAATAGTAAATCAAAGATATTTGGTTAAGAAAGAGGGATGTGACCAGATATTAAATGTTTAATTACTTCATTTCTTTGTAAACTATGATTTTAAAAGGGAAGGTAAATGATTACTAAAACAAGCAAAAAATGAAATTTTTATACAATTTTTTATCATATCACAATAGATACCTTTTCACTAATTCTAATTCAAATAGTTATGGATATAAGAAGTAAACTGTATATGTGTAAAAAGAGTGTTTGATTTTAAGTAATGTCCCCAAACTATCAAAATAAAAATGGTAACAGAAGCTAAATTATACATAGCAAGTTACAAAGCTGAGACAAACTACCGTGTTTCCCCGAAAATAAGACAGGGTCTTATATTTATTTTTCCTCAAGACACCCTAGGGCTTATTTTCAGGGGATGTGTTATTTTTATTAAGTACGGTACAACAATCTACATTTATTCAAATATAGTTAAGTCTCCTTCTTCTGGAACATCATCATAACTCCCCAAACCCCGAATTCTATCCTGAATTTCTTGCGACTCTATTTCTTTTGGAACCGTTGGCCCCAACCTCTCATGTCGATCAATAGAGCTCTCATGGGGCAGATGAGAAGGGCTGCTCGCCTTCTTTACCATTCCACAAATGCATGGGTTGTGCAGATATGCTGCATAACCACTCCCATCAGTAGGTCTTATTTTCGGGGTAGGGCTTATATTGCGCAAATGCTTACAAATCCTGCTAGGGCTTATTTTATGGGTAGGTCTTATTTTCGGGGAAACATGGCACAAGGTATTAAGAAGCAACCTTCTTAATAGTTATTTTCCAAAATAACTATGAAGGTATAGTATGAATACTGCATTATGCTTCCTGAATGAGAGTAATCCAATTCTCAAAATGACGATAAGAAGAGAACAGAAATATTACTGAACAACGTTAGAAACATGAAAAAAGAAAACGAAAAAGAAAAATAGAATGTAATTAAAAACCTGAGTTTTTATTTGCAGAATCCTCTAGGTTCTCAGCATTTGAAGTGGCTAAATTTTGGTCTAGAGATACAACAGCCCTTTTATCTTCATATGTTCTTGCATCTGGGTTATGGTAGGCATCTATATTTTGTCTGTGCATCCTATTCAAATCAGCTGAGAGGAAAAAATAAGCCATTTATTTCAATAAACACATTTCTATATTGGGTATGCTTAATACATTTTCTTAAAATAGGGAATTACAGAGAAAACAATAGGACAGAGCTGGGAATAATTCAATGATATGTTGGTGTCCTGAAAACAGAAACAAAATTATCAAAACTTTTAAGATTTTTAAAAAATAACCCTGCAAAATAAACTCGAAATTAATAGGGAAATTAAGGATATATAAATCTTTGACAATCCACAGAAACCACATTAACAGTATTTGTTACTTCAGAACTTAAAACTGCTTTAATTAGAACACAACCACAATTTAAAACAAGTAATTGTAAAATCTTCCAAACATCAGCTCGCCTAATGAAAACACATGATCACATAGATTTTGAGTTTTAAAATATATCCAAAAATTCTTGACAATCCTTCCTCAAAATGTGAAGTTCAAGCCCCATCCCCTTCAGTGTGGTCCAGTCACTTCTTATGACCAGGATATTGCAGAAATGATAGTATATGACTCCTGAAGCTACTTCATAAAAGAAATGATTTTTCACCTTGCTTGATCTATGGATCACTCACTCTGATGTGAAAAACAAAGGACAATGTAGAAGTAATAAGGAAATGGCAACAGCCCAGGCAAATGATAACTCTCAATTATGGTGGCAGTACAAATGAAAATGAAGAGAATTCAAGAAACACTAAGAGACAGAACCTATGATTAGGCTTATGAACTGACTGGATATAGGGAGTCAAAAGGACTCTAATTTTTAGTTTGAATTATGAAGAATTATGACGCCTTTTAAAAAAGCATCATATTTGCCTTTAAAAAAGGCAAATAAAGATGAGCTGGATTTTTAAAGTTAAGTTTGGTTTTACACACCAGGTATAAATAATCTATCAAACATCAAGAGTAGAAAGGAAGAAGAAATGTTAGAAATGAAGTAAAGAGTTTTGAAAGTGGTCAGGGACACAGAAAGAGATTTGAAGATCATCCATAAAGAAGACCCTAAGGAGTGGCATAGGAATAGAAGAGATGACGTGAGAGAGAACAGATGAAGGGATGAGTATATCTAACTCAAGGAACACATGAGTTTAGAAGAGAGTCCTTAGAAGAAAGATCATGTTCACATACCTAAAAAAGTCTAATTCTAGTTCATAGTACACATCCAGCAAACGTTAGCTGAAGTGAGGACAGCATCTCAGAGGATGCAGAGGACCTAAGGAAAAAGGAACTGTCAACCCAGTTCAAAGAGGATAAGAACTGAGTAAAAATCATTAAATTGAAATTAGAACATCTTTTTTTTTTAAAGGCAGCATCAGTAGAGGAGTGGAAGCTAGATGTCATATTATGAAAGATTAAGCAATAAGAGGGTGGAAAGAAGTAGCAGCAACAAGCATAGACTACTTTTTGAATGTGTTTTATATAAGGCAAGTATTGTTTGTGTTTAAGAATACAAGTGACCTAAACATTTCCAGAGGTAGAAGGGAAGAAACAAATAGAAAAAATGCAAGAGAGAAGGGACTGGATAAAATTGCAGGAAAATTCCCAAGTGCTAAAGATCAGCAAGGCAGGTATGTGTTCACAAAAACATCGGCAAATCCTGGCATCTATCTGAATATGACAGACAAATAAAAAGAGAAAGATAATGGAAAAGTTGAGGTCATGAGCTAAAAGCTTTGGTCCCTGAAAAGTCCAAAAATCAAACAAAATAACTCAAACATGAAATCAATCTCACTGTCATCCAATTCACTAAAACAGCATAAGACAGGCCTGTATATATGTCACTATGAATAATATTACACACAGTATTCTTCTATTTTTTCCTACTATTAGACTGCAGTATATCAAGTCCATTCCTTCCAGATGATACCCAGATCTCTGCTGCCAAACTAGCAAGTGCTTAGGAAATGCAATCTCAGTTTGATAGTCAACTACACAAACTGTACATTAAGAGATAAATATCCTATATCTAAACAAACTTCAAATTCAATAACATATTATCTACTATTGTGGTTACACAATGACCTCTCAATTAGAGTAATATTCAATGTATTTATATAAGAGGAAAATTAATTTCATCAGAGTACATAATTATTATTTAAGACTATCAGATTTAGTAATCAAAACAAATCCATGTTGCCTTTTACTGGAAAAAATGATTTGTCAATCAACTGGTCACTCCTTTTACATCTTTCTGTGAAGGGGTAAAATATAAGATTTGAAATCAGCTAAAAACTGAAAATAAAAAAAGGTACCTGAATCAAGAGTGTAATTTGCCAATTGCAAAGATTGGACTTTATTTTAAATGTAAATTATATCACTTAATATAAAATTATAAACATTACAAGAATAATTCTATAACTGACAGAATAACCAAAAAAAAAAAAAGCCACAGATTCATAAGTGGGAAAATATTATAATTCTACTCCCTAAACAATTTATCAGACCAGCACTTACTTATATGATACAGATAAACATACATAAATATTACTTGTTTTCATTCTTTGTTTTATCTTTTTTTATAAACCTAAATGAATACTTTGAAATTAAATTCAGAAGTTAGCTGCTGCTCTTTATATTTTGGTGGAAGATACACACTAAAATATTTTTTAATGGCTAAGTTAAATATTACTATAAGCCCACGATTATTCAATAATTCATGGCTGACATACAAATTCTTTTATAAGGAATTAATTCAGAAAGTTAAGCAAAATTTCCAACCCTAGCCACTACTGGTAATGCATATTTCAAAATTAACCTAGTTTAAAATATATACGCTTACAGAGATCACAGTCTCTAAAGTTAGTAAAAATCTAACTGGTGGTACATAAAATAAATCTCACATACTTAAAAACAATGAAATCATTAAAAGTATATTTTCTCAACAAAACAGAATACAAACTAGAATAAAAGAAAACTGTCTGCAAAATCTCCATATACTTGAAAAATTTTAAAACCTACTTCTAAATAACTGATGGGTCAAATAAAACCAAAAGAAAAATGAGAAAGTTGAATTGAATGACATTAAAAAATAAAACATAACAAAATATGTGAGACACAGCTAAAACTACTCAGAGGCAAATTTGTAGCATATTTAAATTCACAGAAAATAAATAATGTCTCAAATCATAATCTAAGTGTCTAAGTGAAGAAATTAGAAGAAGAAAGGTAAGCACAAAGCAAACTAAAGGAAGAAAAGAGTAGAAATAAAAGCAGAAATCCATGAGACAGGAAGAAAATAAATGAAAACGCTATTTTATGAAAATATCAATAAAACTGATAAACCTCCAGCCAGATTGATTAAGAAAAAAAGAGAATATATAAACTGCAAATCAGGAATGAATGAGGAGCCATCACTGTAGGTTCTACAGACATTAGAAGAAGAAATATTATGAACCTTATGCCAGTAAATTCAATGCTTAAATAAAATGGATTAATTCCTTGAATGATCCAAACCACCAAAGCTCATAAAAGAAGAAATAAACTGAATACTTCTTTACCTATTAAATAAATTCAATCTATAGTTTAAAACCTTCCCAAAATAGAAATTCCCAGCCCACATGGCTTTACTGATAACTTCTACCAACAGAAGAAACACTTCCCAACTTTTGTTATGAGGCTAACATTACCTTGATACCAAAACCAGACAGTGACATAAGAGAATGAAAACAGACAAGTGTCTCTTATGTGCCTAGATGCAAAATCCCCTAGCAAAACATTAGCAAATCTAATTATACAAAATATATATTAAAAAAGACAAATGCAGCACAGCATATCCTAGGAATGCAAAACTGGTTGAATATCCAAAAATCAATCAATGTAATTTGTTAGAAGGGTACCCATATGTTAGAAGGGTAAAAATACCACATTATCATCTCAATAGATGCAGAAAAGCACTTGACAAAATCCAACATACATGAATAATAAAAACTCTGAGCAAAGTAGAATAGAAAAAAAAATTCTCAATGTGATAAAAGAAAAACCTTCAAAAAGCCTGTAACTAGCTTAATGGTAAAAGACTCAATGCTTTCTACCTAAAATCTTGAACAAACAACAATGTTTGCTTTCATGACTTCTAAACATTGTACTGGAGTTCCTAACTATTACAAAAAGCAAGTAAAATAAAAGACATTTAGATTGGAAAGGAAGAAGTAAAACTAGCTTTGCAGGTAATATGATTGTCTGCATTAAAAAAAAAAAACCTGCAAAGAATATACAAAAAACTAGTAAAACTAACAAGTGAGTTTATAGCAAGGACATAGAATACAAGGATGATATACAAAAATCAACCATATCTTTAGGGATACAATTGCTATATACAAGATCTGCCAGTGAAAACTACAAAATACTGCTGAAAGAAACTAACTAGAAAGAAATAAATGAACAGATATTCCACATATGTGGATCAAAAAACTCAATATTGTTAAGATGTTGCCTGCCCCAATATTGATCTATTGTCAATGCAATCCCAATGAAAATCCTGCCACATTTTGTTGAAGTAAAACTAATAGTAAAACTTGCAAGAAGTTGTCAAAACAACCTTGAAAAAGAAGAACAAAGTTGGAGAACTCACACTTTCAAAACTTACCACAAAACTACAGCAATCAGGAGAGTATGATACAGGCAAAAGGAATACAACAGTAGAACACAACTGAAAATCCAGAAATAAGTTTATGGTCAACTTATTTTTAATAAAGATATCAAGACAACTTAATGTGGAAAATGTTCTAAAGTGTGACTGTAGCACAACTGTGTGAATACACTAAAAACTATTGAAATGTACACTTTATGTGGGTAAACTATGTGGTATGGGAATTAGATCTCAAGAAAGCTATTATACATGGGGGGAGGGCAAGAGCGAGAGAGAGAAACTGTCACAGATTGGAGGAGACTAAAGAGACATGAACTAAATGCAATATAAAATCTTGGACTTGGGCCTATAATAGAATAACAACATTACGTGAGAAACTGGTAAAATCCGAATAAGGAATGTGATTTAATTAATAGCATTAATTAAAGGTTAATTTCTAGTTTTAATCATTGTGCCATGATTATCTAAGATGTTAACATTAGGGGAAACAGGATGAAGGATACTTTCTATACCATCTTTGCAACTCTTCTATAAGTCTTAAATTATTTCACAATAGAAAGTTAAAATAAACAATGAGGTATCACTATACAATTAATAGAATGACTAAAATTTTATTAATAAAGATACACAATTCAAGTGCTGATGAAAATTCAAAACTGGAAATCTCTTAGTTTTCTGGTAGGAATACAAAATGGTACAACCAATTTGGAAAATGGTCTGGCAGTTTCTTACAAAGTTAAACATACTTACTATACATCCCAGCAATCCCATTCTTAGGCACTTACCCAAGAGAAATGAAAATGAAAATTTGTATTCATATAGAGACCTGTAAGTGAATGTTTATAACAGCTTTATTCATAATAGCTTTAAACTGGAAAGAACGCAAACATCCGTCCATCAACTGGTAAATGGATAAACATTTGTGGTACCGCCAAACAACGCAATACTACTCAGTATTAAAAAGAAGTAAGCTACTGACATATGCAGACATATGCAACAACATGGATGAATCTCTAAAACATTATGTTAAAAGACGAATGTCAGGAAAAAAGGCAAACTATTATGCCAGAGAGCAGATCACAGGTTGGCAGGGGTAGATGCATGGGTAAGAAGAATACTGACTGTAAAGGGATGCAGGGAACTTTGTGCAGTGCTGGAAATGTTGTATATCCTGACTGTGGTAGTGATAGTTACTAGAATCAGTTGTCAAAACTCACTAAATTTTTAAAGAGTGAATTTTATTATACCTCAATCAACATAAAAAGGAAACATAAGTCTAACTAGGGCAAATACAATACATAAAAGAAATACAAATATATAATAGAATATACATGAAGAAATGTTTAATTGTGCTATTATTCAAGTAGAACTATGAGACACTTATTGTCATCTTTCAAGTTGGTTAAGTTTTTAATTTTATTTTTATTGACTTTTTTCTTTTGGTGTAGTTTTATAAATTTTTAACACGTTTATTTCATGTAATATAACTTATAATCAAGATACAGAAAAATCCTATCATCTAAAAAACTTCATCATGCTATCTCTTTATAGCTATTTCCTCTCTCTACCCATAACCCCTGGCAACCACTGATTTGTTCTCCTTCCCTATACTTTCCTCATTTTGAGAATATCATATAATGGAAACATACATGTGTATGTAACCTTCAGAGAAGGGCTTCTTTCACTTAGCTTAATGCCTATGAGAGTTTTCCAAGTTGTGTGCATCAACAATTCATTTTTATTGCTGAATAGTATCACAGTATGGATATGCCACAGTTTCCTTATCCATTCAACTACTGAAAGACACTAGAACATAGTTTTTTTATAGGACCTTGAATAAAAAACTTTAATGAATAAAGAATTGAGAAACAAAACAGATTAAAGTACAAATAATTAAAATGAGATCAAGTTATTTTGAAAGGGTTAATGCTATCTTATAGTTGTGTGAATAACAGATTCTAATATTTAATTGTAACAACTATACCTTATAAAGGAATCTTAGTTAAGGGTAAAGATTCAATTTCATTAATTTCCTTGAATAAAACATCAAAACAGAATAGGAGTCATTAGAAAAGTCAGCAGCAGAATTCAAGTTAGCCAAGATAAAGTATAGAGTCTATGTGGTCTTGTCATCACACTGCTTTGTACTACATATTTCAAATATAATAATACAAAAATTACATTCCCTTTTCTAAAATGTAATAGCCACATATAAAATAAACTGATATTCTTTAAGTGATGAATTCACTTGCTTTGAAAATACCATCGAAAGAGAGTTCCACTGTGTGATAAAACAGTTTACTTTTTCTATTTCATGGAATGACTACAGCATTAAATAAGCAAACTTAATAAAAATGGAGATTTCAGAAAACTTATCTCCATTCTTATTAGGTCAAGCAATTCTAGAACAAAATTTTATAATTCAATAACCCAAACTTATCCTACTCACTTCCACCAATTAAATGCACACAGAACACCATAATTGTATTGTTTGAACCAGAAATAATCTTAGAGGGAGCCTAAAAAGTCCTAGTAAATTGCTTTATTCCAGCGTTTACCAACGTTTCAGTCATTTAAGCACCTCTTTCATGGTACCTAGTATATTTCTACTGATTCACAATTTAAATTATTGTAGCAAAGATTGCTACAATATGCTTATGCTTATCAATCCCATGTCCTCCTCCTGGGCATAAAGAAACTTAAACTTCCCAGCTCAGGCAAGGGTTGGGAACTGCAGCCTTAGGGACACATGGGACCTTCTGGATCCTTGAGTGCAGCCTTTTGACTGAATCTAAATCCTTTTAATAAAATCCTTTTAATAAAGGGATTTGTTCTGTGAAGTTCAGATTCGGTTGAAGAGCCACACTTAGTGATTCAAAGGACCACATGTGGTCTTGAGGCCGCAGGTTCACAAGGCAAAGGGGCTATTCCTCCACTTCTAGGCCAGGCCACAAAAAAAAACCCTTACCTTATTCTCCCCGGCGCCCCCTGGACCTTGCCTGTGCAGCTACAAAGGACTCCAAAACGGAGGAGTGACATAAAGCAAGTGGTTGGATTCCTGAGTTACTTCTTGGAGGAGAACCAACCAAACAGCATCAGAACAGGACATAAGTGAGAAGTAAACTTATACTGCCTTACACCTCTGAGAATTTGGGATTGATGATTACAATATTTTTATTAAATGCCTAGACTAATACATGAAATTACTTTAAAAAAATGTTATAGCACTATTCATAAATGAAAAACCACTTATTTTTAATCTATTTTCAAGCAAACGCTTAAATCTATTAAAATAAGAAATGTTCATCTATGCATCACCTAAAATCACCTCATCTATAGAGAAAGTACTAAGAGTTCCAATCTTCCAAACCTGAGAAAAATATATCCTTAAGGAAGGAGAGGAACAAATCTTTTGGAAAGGAAAAAAGTTATGAAATTAAGTGGGCCTCAAATACGTCTTTTAAAAAAAAACAATATTTAATGAAGAATCAAAGGCATAATACATAAGAACTCTAATAACTCAATATCCAAACAATCTCCTATCACTCACCTATTCCTACATTAACTCACAACACCTAAAAAGAACAAGAAATCCACATTGTTACCATTTTAATTGGTACTTTATTATCCTCTATTTCTCATTTCTAACTAAATAATTTTCAAAAACCAATTATCTTTGCTCTACTTTTATTCTGCTTAACTAAAAGCTAATCAAAGACCATCCTAATATACAATCAGCTTTTTGCATCTGTGGGTTTTGCATCTGTGGATTCAACCAACTGCAGATGGAAAATATACCCCCCAAAAAAGCGATGCTAATTTCTGTATTAAATATGTACATTTTTCTTGTCATTATTCCCTAAACAATACAGTATAACAATTTACATAGTATTTACATTGTATAAGGTATTATAAGTAATATAGAGACAATTTAAAGTATAAAGGAGTGTATGTATAGATTATTTGCAAATACTATACCATTTTATATAAGGGCTTTGAGCCTGCACGGATTTCAGTATCCACAGGAGGTCCTAAAGCCAATTCCCCCATGCTTACTTACCAAGCTATATATAATAAGTTGTATAAAGCCACTTTTTTCAAAGTGTTTGTTGTGTAATTACTAGATCAAAAAAATTTGAGAGTACATAATTGAAAGATAAATGAAAGAATTATGCAACATGCCAGAAAGTTTCTAAGATCAAGTCTTTGTTTTCTTTTTCCAAGGAGTGTTTGCACTGAGCAGGCATATTGTATATATTATAATTAAACACTAGATTCCTTCCCATACCATTTTAGATCAAGATATCTTAATAGTTTAAAAAGAAAACATGTAGCATGGGTTTTATCATTTTTACTAGAAAATAAAGAAAATATTCTAAATACTAGTTTGGGTAGAAACTTAGCAACATGAAGTTTTCCCTGCAATTAGATTTTATCATTAAAGGAAGAAAAATTTGTAATAAGAAAAAGTGAACAGAACACTGAAGAAGAAAGGCTTTCTAGCCTGTTATTGTAACTATTATCAATTATTCTAATATCAGTTATTCTATCTATTATCTCATGCCTTAAGCTACCTCAGAAGAGACCTTGCTTTACAGGCTATGATTCCTACATTGCTTTCTACTCCCCACTCTTTTAAAAAGTGAAAAATAATTTAGTTTATTTTTAAAACAAGTCAAGGGAAATAACATACTTATCAGATTTCCTTTCACATCCCTGAGAGGAGCACCACCTCCACCTTTTCCCCAGGGGTTGTAGGTTCTCATTTCAGCTTCTAATTTAGCTTCATATTCTTCTTTTTCTTCACGTTCTTTCTTCCTTCTTTCTTCTCTTTCCCGAATCTTAACATAAGACATATTTAAATTAAGTGCTGACAAGTATTCTGATACAAGAGGTTAGTAATCCTAGATGTTATTTCCTCTTCCATGTTAGAAAAATAAATTGGAGATGTTTTTTCAGTAGGCTTCACTGCAAAGTTTAAAATCACAGTATATGTAATACCCAGTTTAAAAACATTCCAATGGCTGGAATACATCCCAGCTGTTCCCCCATATTATGCCACCAAAGGCCTTTCCAGCCACTAAGGCTACTTCAGACTCAACCTCCCTCCCTCACCCAACTTCTACCTGAGCCATTCCCTCCCTAACCTTGCCAGTTGCAATGGGATCATCAGGATCTCCTTATGTTCCTTTGTCACCTATCCTTTCATAGGGATTTGCCCAGACACAAATTCTACTCCCTACCTCACCAGACCTACTCTCCCTAAGCAAACCTGATTCCCAGATTTCAGCGAGGTTGAAGGCATAAAACTCTTTGGGGAATGTTGGGCTACTTTAAGTACAGGTATACCTTGTTTTATTGTGCTTTTCTTTACTGCACTTCACAGATATTGTGTTTTTTACAAATCGAAGGTTTGTGGCAACTCTGCACCAAGCAAGTCTGTCAGCACCATTTTTCCAACAGCATGTGCACACTTCATGACTCTGTGTCAACTTTTGGTAATTCTTGCAATATTTTAAACTTTTTTATGACTATTATATCTGTGACGGTGCTCTGTGATCAGTGATCTTTGATGTTACTATTATAACTATATTGGGGCACCCTGAACAGCACTCATATAAGATAGCAAACTTAACTGATAAATGGTGTGTAGGTTCTGACTGCTCTAACAACTGGCCATTCCTCCATTGCTCTCCCTCTCCTTGGGCCTCCCTAATCCCTGACACACATTATTAAAATTAGGCCAATTAATAACTCTGCAATGGCCTCTAAGTGTTCAAGTAAAAGGGCACATCTCTCATTTATGTGAAAAGCAAAAGATAAGCCAAAAGCTAGGCTTCTTGTGTCAAACAATTAGCCTAGCTGTGAATAAAGAGGCAAAGTTCTTGAAAGAAATTAAAAGTGCTACTCCAGTGAACACATGAAGGATAAGAAAGCAAGACAGCCTTATTGCTGACACAGAGAAAGTTTTAGTGGTCTGGATAGAAGATCAAACCTCCTACAACATTCCCTTAAGCCAAAGCCTAATCCAGAAGGCCCTAACTCTCTTCAATTCTGTGAAGATTGAGAGAGGAGAGGAACCTACAGAAGAAACATATGAAGCTAGCAGGTTGGCTCATGAGGTTACAACTATCTCCATAACATAAAAGTACAAGGTGAAGCAGCAGGTGCTGACAGAAGAAGCTGCAGCAAGTCATCCAGAAGATCTAGCCAAGATCACTGATGAAGGTGGCTACACTAAGCAACAGATTTTCCATGTAGATAAAATAGCCTTCTCTTGGAAGAAGATGTCACCTAGGACTTCATAGCTATCAAGGAGAAACCAATGCCTGGCTTCAAAGCTTCAAAGGACTGGCTGAGTCTCTGTTAGAGGCTAATGCAGCTGCTGGCTTTCTACCATTCAGAAAATTTTAGGACTTTTAAGAATAATGCTAAATTTACTCTGCCTGTGCTCTAGAAATAGAACAAAACCTAGATGTCAGCACATCTATTTACAGCCTGGTTTAGTGAATATTTGAAGCTCATTGTTGACACCTACTGCTCAGAAAGATTTCTTTCAAAAGATTACATTGACAATACACCTGATCACCCAAGAGCTCTGATGAAGATATACAAAGAGATGAATGCTGGTTTTGTTCCTGCTAATACAACATCCATTCTGCAGCCCTTGGATCAAGGAGTAATTTCAACTTTCAAGTCTTATTATTTAAGAAATATATTTTGTAAGTCAATCGCTGCCATAAACAGTGATTTGTCTGATGGATCTGGGCAAAGTAAAATGAAAACCTTCTGGAAAGGATTCACCATTCTAGATGACATTAAGAACTCATCACTCATGGGAGGAGGTCAAAATACCAACATTAATAGGAGCTTGAAAGAAGTTGATACCAACCCTCATGCATGACTTTGAGGGCCTCAGGACTTCAATGGAGGAAGTAACTGCACAGATAGCAGAAATAGCAAGAAAACTAGAAGCCTGAAGTTGACAGTAAACTCTTAAACTCTCTTCAAACATTACAAACTATTATACAACAGAATCCATTATCCTACTCCCTAATCATGATATATTTCTTGTATTCCACATCTTGGTTTATAGCGTCTTTATTCTCCTAGATTGGAACACTTGCACTCATCTTCAAGCCCTCTGTTCTTTCTCATTCCCTATATCCAAGTCCTGTCAGTGAAACCTCAGAATTGTCTCTTGGATGTCCTTCCCATCTTCTCCATCTGGTTCAGGGCCTCACCACCTCCCTACTGAACTACCTCAATAATTTACTAAAAAATTTCTCTGCCACATCTCTTTCCCCATTGTTCACACCAAAGCCAATTATCTTCCTACAAGATAAATCTGCTCACATTAACCGATCCTGTCATTTTTTTTCTTAGCTTAAAATTTCCTTCCTTAGGCTGCCTGTAACAGATGAAAGTGAAAACCCCTTATTAGCCAGTCGATCACAATCCAGCATAACCTAACTCTACACCCTTTCTCCCACACCAATTTCATTCCTAGTATACATCCTATAATAGTATGCACCAGCAATTTCTAAGCTATTCATTGTATAACACACAGCTCAAGTATCAACTACCATGTGAAGATGCCCTCCCAACTGTCACAGGTAATTATTTGCCCTATCCTATGTTTCAAACAGCATTCCACTGTATCCATTTCAAAACTTACCATATTGAATTATAATTATAATAAATAAAAACTATAATATGTAGTTTTTATAATTCTTTATAATATATAGTTTTTATTCTCCCCTCACACTCTGTATTCTAAGGGACCACTGTGCTAACACTTAAGATGTTCAACAGTGAATGAAGGAATGAATGAATACCTGCTGCTGCAAAGCCTCTTGGTAAGACTGAAGTGACTGTTTGGAAGGTTTTGGTTTATCTTCAAAAACCAATCCTGAATTTATTGCATGATCATTTGTAATTTTCAGTTCATTCTGTCCAATCGTATTCCTATATCAAATAATTAAATAATAAATAATTTGAATCTATCTATGACAAAGCAAGAAGAAAATGAAACTCCTTTGAAATAGTATGGCATATAAATACATTTAAAAATAGAGAAGGACATTTCTCTATAAGCCAAAGAAGAATTAAGTGACCCCTTCCTAAGCTTTCCCTCCTGCCTCTGCTTTGACAGTCCATGAAACTTTCAAATTTGCTGGATCTATTTTTTGATCTAGGTGGCAGTTACACAGGAATGAAAAAAAGTTTGTGATAATTCATCAAGCAGTACAATATGACTTAGGCACTTTACTGAACATACAGAAATAATAACATAATGAAAGTCCCTCAAGTAACACCATAATAGCAAATGATTTACTAATAAAATGACTTCCTAGTCATTTCAAGAATAAAACAATTATAGTAAATACAATTTTTTAAAAACTCAAAAGAAAACAAAAAAAATTTTAAACATATTGTGGTTATATTAATATAAATCACAAGCAATAATGTGCTGTGTCTTAAACATAACACATGTTTAAGTACAGGAATATATCCACTTTGAGATAGTCAGATTTTTAAAAATATAAATTATAAAAGATAAATTCAAATGTTGGTTTTATAATAAAATCATAATTATAAAAAAGAAACTATAAAAGTCTCCAAAAACAACATCATTTTAAATAATGTGCTTCCTTTGTGTACTTAACTTATCCAACTTATTACAATCTTTTATTAGCATAAACAACTATGTTTATATATAATGCCAAAGTGGAGTATGAGCGGGTAAAAGGGAAAATGAGGAAAACAAGAGCAAATGGTTCCCAACTGACCTTAAATTTTTTCAGAGCAAGGGTGCTCTCTTCAGGTATAAACGAATAAAGAGGGCTGAGAAGGTTTGGCTGAGTAAACTTAATCTCTTAAAACATACCAGTTATAAATTAGATGGTAAACAATTTATCTCAATATCTATTTCACTCATTATCCTTCCTCACTCACAGACCCGAATTCTTGGCCTTTATTTATCAACTCCTCTCTGGCCCAAAAAAGAAAGGGTTTAAGGACATATGCAGTCAGATCAGGATGGGAGGAAGGGAGGAAATGGTAGGGATATTAATTACAGTTGTCCCTTGGTATACATGGGGGACTGATTCCAAGACACTCCACCTATGTCAAGATCCACACATACTAAAGTCTGGAAGTCAGCCCCAGGGAGCTTCTGTATACAAAAAGTCGGCCCTCCATATATGTGGGTCTCACATCCTGCAAATATTGTATTTTTAATCTGCATTTGGTTGAAAACAAAGTTGCATGTAAGTGGACTTGCACAATTCAAACCCATGTTATGAAAGGTCAATTGTATACAATTCAATGATGTTCACAGAATTTACAGAGTTGTGCAACCATCACCACAATCAAGTTTTAGAACATTTCCATAACCTAAAAATATCCCTTATACCCATAATGCAATCAATACCCACTCACTCCCTAACCCCAAGGCCCAGGTGATCACTAATAACCTGCATTCTGTCTCTACAGATTTGCTCTTTTTAGGCATTTAATACAAATGGAACCATGCAATATGTACAGATTCTTTCACTTAGCATAATATTTTTAAGATTCATTCATATTACAGCATATCAGTAGTTCATCACTATTTATTGCTGAATAGTACTGCACTGTATGACTAATATACATTTTGTTTATCCATTCACCAGTTGAGAGACATTTGAATTGTTCCTACTTTTTGGCTATTGTGAATAATGCTGCTGCTACTATAAACATTCATATACAAGTCTGTTTATTACATATTTTTTTGTTTTCTGTTGTGGAGGGTTCTGTGCAAGACAGTTTTTGGATTTTTTTCTCTTTTTATAGATTTAAAGGGTACAAACACAGTTTGGTTACATGGACATACTGCCCAGCTGTGAAGTCCCATCACCCGAATAGTGTACATTGTACCCATTAGGTAATTTTTCATCCCTCCCTCTCCTCCTACCTTCCTACCCTCTCACCCTTCCGAGTCTTCAATGTCTATCATCCCACTATGTCCATGGGTACACATTATTTAGTTCCCACTTATAAATGACAACATGGTGGTATTTGACCTTCTGAGTTATTTCACTTAATATAATGGCCTCCAGTTCCACTTTTGTTGCTGTAAAAGACATGATTTCATTCTTTTTTATGGCTGTGTAGTATATTCTTTAGTGTATATACACTACACTTACATTTTCTTTATCCAGTCATCCACTGATGGACAATTAGCTTAATTCCATATATTTGATATTGTGAATAGTGCTGCAATAAATATATGAGTGCAGGTAACTTTTTAACATAATGATTTCTTTTCCTTTGGGTATGTTACCCAGTAGTGGGATTGTTGGATCTAATAATTCTATTTTTAGTTCTTTGAGAAATCTCCTTACTGTTTTCCATAGAGGTTGTACTAATTTACATTCCTACCAACAGTATATAAACATTCCCTTTTCTTTGCATCCTCGCCAACATCTTTCATTTTTGATTTTTTAATAATAGCCATTCTGAATGGTATAAGATGGTATCTCACTCTGGTTTTAATTTGCATTTCTCTCTGATGATTAGTGATGTTGAGCATTTCTCTTGATATATGCCTAGGAATAGGTAAGTTTATGTTTAACTTTTTAAGAAACCACCATTTCCTGCAGCTGCTTTTTATACACTGACTTTGTAATTAGTAACTATGCTAAAACTTTCATGTTAATTCTAATATTTTAGCTGTATATTCTTTTGAAAAGAATATCAGTTTACTCTCTTCCTTTCTAATCCTTGTACCTGTCTTTGTTCCTTTCACTTTTATTTTTGCCGTTGCTGAAATTATTAAGCCCTAAAGGGAAATGATGATAGTAAGAATAACCTCAAAAAGAATGTTTTAAATCTATCATCAAGTAAAATGCGTGATGTAGGTTTTTCATGTTTATGCTTTCTCAGTTAAATAGGTTCACCTATAACCTATTTTGTTAAGTTTTAAAATCACTAATGGATAATTATTAAAGCTTTTCCTGTATCTATTAAGATGATCATATAGTTTTTCTTTATTCTGTTAATATGGTATATTACAGTAATTGATTTTATATCTAACACCAATTAGCTCTTAGATATATCAGACACTGTTCTAGACACTTTATAAATTTTAATTCATTCAATCCTCACAACCACCCTGAGAGTTAATATCATGATTATCCCAATTAACAGACCAGGAGTGAAAGTAAGAAACATGCCCCAAGGTAATGACTAGTGAAGCCTGCATTCAAACCAAGGCAATCTGGCTGCAAAGTCCATGCTCTCAATTGATATGCTCTACTGCATTTAACCATCCTATATTCCACAGTAATTCTAATTTAGATGAATTATCCTTTTTATACATTGCAAGGTTCAGTTTTACAGTTTTTGTGTCGATGCTCATGAGTGAAAGTAGCTTATAATTTCCCATTTCCATACTAGCCTTTTCAGGTTTATGTATCAAGATTATGACAGTCTCATAATAGTAGCTGGAAAGTATTCCCTCATTATATATTCTGCATTAGTTTGTGTAAGATTGGATTTATTATTTTGTTGAATGATTAATAAAATTTACCAGTCCATCTAAGCCTAGAGTTTATTTTGTGGGAAGAATTGAAACTTTGGATCCAATTTATTAATAGTTTCGATATTATTCAGGTTTCTAAAAGTCAGTTTTATTAAGTTAAATTTTAATAGGAATTTTTCTTCACCTAAATTTTCAAATTCATTGGCAAAGAATCATTCATAATATTTCATATATCCTTATTGTCTTTTTAAAGTTTACTACTATATTGACAGTTCCTTTTTCATTTTTAATATTTCTTATTTACTCCTGTCTCTCTTATATCTTGATCAACCTTCAAGAGAGATCTATTTTATCAGTCTTTTCAAGGAACCTATGCTAGACTGTTGATCCTCTATATTGTATGTTTCTATTTTATTAATTTCTGTTCTGTTCTTTATTATTTCTTTCCTTGATTGTTTGGGTTTACTTTACTGCTTTCTTTCCACTTCTTAGATGCATGACCATTTAATTTTCACCGTATTTTATATATTTTCTAATTTATCTTCTAATTTCCAACATATAGAAATATTTTTAATTTTTAAAATGGATCTCTAGTTGAAATGATCCATAAGATATTAATCCACTAAAATTTATTGAGACTTGCTTTAAGGGCTAAGATGCAATGATATTAAATATGCATAAATATTCCTGTGAGATTAGTAAAAATAGGTATTCTAAAATTTTGAGTACATTTTTATACATTTCCATTAGAATAAGCTTGTTAATTATGCTAAGTGAATTCTTCTAAAACTTTATTTATCTGCTGTATCTATCACTTATGAGAAAAAGTGATAACATCTCACACTATGCTTCTGTATTTATCTCTTTTTTCCATATAGTTATTTCAAATTTTGCTCTGAGGCCATATTACTGGGTACACAAAAATTTTTAATCATTTTGTCCACCTAAAATGAACCTTTACTCTTTACAAAACATCCTATTTTTTCCTCATCCTATGACTGAAAAATACATTTTATCTGATGTTAATACAGCTAAATAAACGTTTTAATTCATATTCTTCTACTATATCTTTTACTTTGAACTTTTCTATGCCATTATTTAAATATATGTCTTATAAGTAACAGGTAGCTTCGATTTTGCTTTGGTATCTAGTATAACAAACTTTCTCTTTGTACTGGAATTTTGAACTAGGTACTTAACTACTTACTGATACCAAATTTAATTTGATTTATAACCAGGTTAAGTAGGTACCTTAAACTTATGGTTTTTTTCTCTCCTTTTGTAAATTAAGCAAATTCTTAACTCATTCCATCTCCGAAGTTGAAAAAGATCAGTTACTAAAATAAAACATTTCTCAATTTTGTTGTGGTTCTTCCTTTTTGAATTTTTTCCTCTATTATGTAAGCTGGACCTTCTGTTCCCATACTTTTAGTGGTTACCC